CTAGGTTCAAACACAGTGTCTTGAAATAGTGTATCAGTTTGGTGTATAAAATTTAATTCGAGTCGGAGAAGTGCTTAAGATGAGATAAGAGGTAGTCGGCCAATGAGCACGTCCACGGCTAATACTATTGACGTGGTCGAACCACTGCTACATTCGGATTGACGACTCAAATTCGAGAAACGACAACACGACTTGACCTCCCAAATAAAACTGTGCATCACATTGTCCATGGGAAATTAAATTTCCGTAAGGATTGTGCGCGTTGAGGTCATGAATGCAGAGATCCCGAGTACTTCAACGGAAAATATACTGCATATTTTCGAGATGGAATTTTCAACACTTACTCCATCATTGAGAAAAATTAATCAATTTGAATGGTGGGTGGAAAAATAGAAAAACATATCTAATTGATCGAGTTCAAATATTAATGTTATAAATTCATTTTTGTTATTCAGTATATTTGTGTGCCTTATTTATGGGACAGCCAATGTAAAATGCTTTTACATTTTTTAAAACTAATGTTTCTTTTCATTTTCGTTTTGTAAAAATTTATCTTAAATTTCACGATGTACTTAGAGCTTTCTGGCTTTCTGGCAAATTGTAGTACCTAACGAGCCCGTTTTTCCTAATTAGTAATCTTCTAAGGTTGTTTGCATATTATTAAAAAACATAATAATTATTATTATCAACGGGTTTTTAGATTACTCTGTGTCTCGGAAATACGCGACCGTAGCGAACTTTTTTTTTTCGTGTTATTTTTCTCAATCATTAAAAATATTTAGTTTTTACTAATTATTATCGTAATTATTTCCTTTTACTCACTTTTATTTATTTTTCTCTTGAAAAAAAAATAATACTTTTCGTTTTTGTCTTTCGATTTTTTAAACTTTTGCTCTTTGCAAATTCAACGATGTAATTTTTTACGTTTATTTCTTGATTCGGTCGGCTTACCTATAAAAATGATTCCTCGTTTCGGTGTTGAATAATATTAATAGTGTATTATTGAGAATTTATTGCCTTAATAAAAACCATAGATATTTTGACCAGGTGTATCATGTTTTTTTTTTTTTTATAAAAAATCGTATTAGTTTGAATTATAATAATAATTTCATTCCTGGCAATCGTGATCACTGATCATATTATATTATAATTATTTGCATTTTACTGTTAAACGGCAATCATATTTGTACCTAATAATATTTTTTGAATTGAATAATTATAATGTATCGAAAACGCTGAATTTGAAAAACAATTAATTACATTATACAAAGTTCAAAAGTCTTTTTCATATTATCGAATGGCGAGAGCATTTCAGCGTTTCAAAACTAGGTGTGTGTGTCCACAGACTGAAAATTAGTGAAGCGAAGTGGTGTGTGCGTGAGTATAATCAATTGAATTATGAGATTACATATCAGTAAATTAGACATTACTACATTACCATTTACCCACACTATAGATTATGTTATAGGGCCTACAGCATAACCTCCCGTATTTAAGGGGTTGTGTATAGGCAATTTTATCAACTTTTTAGAAAACCGATATTTGTCATCTCAAACATATTCAATTTCCCATAAAATACATTCTAAAATAGTCCCGTATCTTTATCACAATATTCTTTATTGATCTTTATTATTCATTATTATTTATTGATGTTTATTAGTTGTATAATTGTGAAATTAATAAAATTGTTTACAAAAAACCGTTTTGTGTGGGCAAAACTTACTCGGACTATGGATTCAGTTAACAAACCAAATTTTTACGATCAAACAAAGAGAACATGCACTGTGCAACATCGGTGTTAGTTTTCGATATAACTATTACCTAAATCGTTGTTCAAGGTTGTTTATAAACTCAGATATTTAAACAATAACTTTTATTTTTTATTCATAATATCAAACAAAATATAAAACCAACGTCGCACAGTAAGGTTCTCCTTTTTCTATAGTGAAAATTTGATTTATTTATTTAAATCTGCAACCCGAGTAGTTTTTCCCGTGCAATATAGTTTTTATATTCGAATTTATTACGGACTCCCTTTTAAATCGCATTCGCTTTGCATGTTGAAATAACATATTTTTACATAAAATCCGCTTAAATGCGCGAAATATATATAGTACCTTATTCGATTTAGAATCCTAATATTCAAAGTTCTTTATAATTTGTTTTATATAGGCACCTAGCTATTGGCATTTACGCGGCAACATCGAATTTATGACTTTAAACTCAACGCTTTTACAGCCGTCGTTGGTTATAAAATATATTATATGATACCTAATTCAAATGGCACTGTTTAATTTTATATTTATTATATCATAAAAAAAAAAAAAAAAATACCTAAAAACTGTAAAATAATTAAATAAAATCTCAGTATAAACTGTTATTATATAGGCAATTGTTGATATCTGTATAGTAATAATAATTTTACTACTTTTATTTTATAACGTTACCCTGTTAGAATATAAGTACCTAAATAATTGTATGCCTTTCGTTTAATTTTAAAAATTAACAATCATAGCTTTTTTTTTTTTTTTAACTAATATGATTATACGAGCAAAACGATACAATTAAAAATAAAAAAATCGCATTCAAAACAAATATTAAATATTAATTTTTGGCTCGTAATATGTATACGCAATACAGGTAAAAAAAGTAAAATGTTGTCCTCGTAGTAGAAAAACGTATATTCACGCATTCGCTATTGTGTTGCAGTATAGGTGTACTGATCTATTAGATAGTAATTATTTAAGTTGCCATAAGCCCCGGCGATACACATGTGGTTTTAAACGCATTGTGGATATTTAAGCTGGTATCTACCGCAGCAGTCCGTGTATTCTAGTTTAATAATGTTAATAAGTTTTTAATTAATTGTAAAACTGTTACGCTAAACGTATACTACGCATATTTACGCTTAGATAAACTTTCCGTACGGTTTAATTACACTATACACACGCAAAACATTGCACACACACACATCATGTGTTTATATTATATAGCTACTGGCGATTATCATATTATTACATACGAACGCCCATTCTAATAATCAGTTTTAAAATGAGACATAGCGAGAACGGTTGACGATTATTCGTTCGGCGTCACTTGTTTATTATTATCTTAAGACGACGTAAACTGCACTCCGTATATAAGGAGTTTCGCATGGACAAATCTCTCGACATTTTTGTACAACTTTTCACATTTTTATCATCATGCAAGTTGTAAAATAACGGTACCAGTTTGAAGTCGATGGGTCAACATTCCGGGGTGGAGTAGTGTTGCGTGAAATCGGCCTCAACCCAATAAAATTAATCGATATATTGTTTAGTTGAAAATTCTAAAAATTTGGTTGCAATTAGTTGCGAACAGGCTTCAAAATAATAATACTATTTGGGTTTTAATACGATAAAATCACACATATCGAAATATTTACTAAATATTAATACAAAATGGCCTAGGTTTATACGAATGAAAATTTAATGAAAATCTTAAAAAAATGAAACGAAATCCTGATATATTAATTTCTTTAAAAACAACATACCGATATATGTCTAATATAGTTTTTTACACATAATACATAAATAATACATTTTGTGTTTATGTGAACAATTTAAGTATAATATATTTTGCTCTCAGTTTAATAATAATGCAAGTAATTTGATTTATTCGGTTTATTTTTTATGGAAAGAAACCAATTTTCTTAATTAACTAAATGCAGATTTAAATCATCTCCTATTTCATTCCGTAATAATTTAATAAAAACATACCCTAGTAAAACAACTGTAAGTTTTTATTGTTACTTTTTTTTTTTTTGTTAGTAGATTTACAGTATTTAAAAAACAAACGGTAGAGAGTTTTTAGTTACAATAAACATTATTGTCGGAAATGTATAAGTATCCACGCTTCCTTTGGGAAACTGCACAGAAACAATATAATTGGTTCGTTTATGTGCAAGAGTTTAGTTTGCAAACAACTCGAAAATGTTGACAGTTTTACGGGTTGAGATGCCGATAAGGAGACTTCGGGGAGTTGTCTTCATTAAAAGAATAAAGTAACGAGCACCAGAGTATTACGTATATATAGTAAGAACAAAGTAAATAAACCGGGAAAAGTTGATAGCTTGTATAGGTAAATCTTTTGTTTTCGACTAGGAACAAACAACGCGAGCTAAAAAATTATGTTAAGTCTTTGACGTAAATTTTGACAATCTTTCACAACTCTTTTTCTTCATCGGTTCCATCACCGTTCATACGAATAATGGTAGGCGTAATAATAATAACGTAGGTACCTTGGCAACAGTTAATTTCCCCCAAACTCGTCACGAGTTAGTGGCGCTATCAGGGTTTGTCAAAAGGGGGAGGTCCAGACATAATAAATGATTTCATTGTACAATTTTTTTTCGGTTTTTCACATTTGCTGAGAAAACTCCGAAGAAAATCGATAAACGTGCTCTCTAAAGTACTTACTCACACTGATTTCCTTTCAGAAAAGGTGTTACGCGTAAAAAGAGTCGGAGTGTCTTCTGGTAGAAAAGTTGTCCACAGAAAAAATGATAATAATAAACATCTATGCAAATCCATGAGATTCTTCGCTACACACTCGGGATGTAAAACCTTTGTTTTGTGGAAAACTAGTTTAAACATTTTACGCATTTTGAAATACCTGTAAAATCAAATGTATTTTACCTACCGGTCATACAATTCGGGATTTACGCAGTTTGCAAATAAGATTATAATATATTAAAATTAATTTTTAACAGTTAGGAATTTGAAATGAAATTACGCGGACGCACGGTGTGATGACGATGTTGTATCACAATAATATTACGATTGAAATATTCGTCGTATATTATTATAAACGACGAAAGGATTGAGGCGACGGTGTGGGAAATTTCACGCGCCGTCATTGCCGGCGCTGTAAGGCCACTCTAGCGAGGTGGTCGCCCGCCCGAGGGGACAATTACTGTGTTTGTGGCGGGGCGGCGGAGAGTGACCTGTTGGCTGCCGCGACGATACTTGACGTGCGGTGTGCCGAGTGCCCGACTGGTATCCATTCCGCGTGCGCCGCGCTCATCCGTCGTTCATCTCTGCCGTGTTAAAAGTAAATTGCAGGATATTATTCGATTGATAATTTAATCGCCGAAACACGTTTGTTTCGTCTACCGTTCGCCGTAATAATAATAATATTATTATTACTATTATTATTATTATTGTTATTGACCGTCAGCTAGAAAAAAAAAAAAAAAACAAAACAAAAAACGACGATCCAAATAGCAACACATCTTCACACCTATTACTACTACTTACCAATTTTTGGATTGTTAATAAATCCATAGGTATGTTTTTTTTTTTTGTTAATTTTGTTTAAAATTATACTGTTATTGTTTTGTTGTCGGCACGTACATAATATTATGTTATAGGCGTTTATTATTTCGCGTTTTGAGCTGCACTGTGCACCAGTATTGTCTCTTTGCGACCATACGGTGTACTAGTGCGTTTCGTTTGTTAAGTGCAATCGTGTCGGAATTTTAATTGAAAACGAAACTCCGATTTGTTAACAAAACTACGTCGGGGCGGATACATTTATTACTGTGGCGGGAACGGCAATAAACAAGATCCCAAAAAACAATAATGACGGCACGTTACGACGTTTTGCTCGCCGAACACAAACTGAGGAATGTATGCAGAAAAAAAAAAATAATAATAAAGAAGAATTATGACAATAAATAAATAAACGATGAGATATGCGTTAATTAGGTAATTATGTACGTGACGGGCGGGCGCTACTATAAACGGCTCCCATTGTTTATTGTAATTTACGAGGGAAAAATGCACGGCATAGGCATAGACGTAAAATATAGTCTTAAAATGCATAGGCTTTCGGCCCAAAAGGCCTTAGGGCGTACGCAATAAGACTGAATTGATTTCAAATACTACAGGTAGGGCTTGAGATGGCTCAAGGAAGCCATCCTGAGCTCCTTACTTACGTTTATGAACGTAGATGTAGGTACGTTTCCAGATGCGTTTCGATAGCAGAAGTCTGTTGGCAGGCCCTATCGAGGGGAAATTATTTTTATCGTTATGAATTTGTTTGCCTATGGAAAAAAAAAAAAAACATATACCTACAACGACAACAATTGAATGTAGGTAGGAATTTTTTATGCTCCCCTGCTAACGCAGGTGACGTGCTCAGGTGGAGGGAACAATAGGGATTATACCCTCTCTGCGTTATCTTAAAAACACAACAACTACGGGTATTTATTTGGTAATTTTATCTTGAAATTATGTATTATTCCTGTCAAGTTACATTTTGAACACAACTCGAGATTTATTGAAGAAAGATTTACTTTTTTGGGGTCTTAAATTGAGCTTAGGTGCCTTCCTATTATAAAAGGAGATTTCAAGATTTATTCATGAACTATGATTGTTGTTCACTGCTTATTTTCTCCCGTTGAAAATTCCTGGGCTCGTCGCTGCCAAGAGAGGTCATAAAATTCTGGTTACGAAACTATAATACAATTCAGTAGTAGAGCTATGCATACATATATATTATGAAAATATATTGGATTTTTCGTCGTTGCGTGGGTCCAAAAACGTGTCTATTAATTATTCAGGTACTCCCGCTGTTTTTTTTTTTTTTGTCTCTGGGTAGGGATACGGCCTCCGGAGAAACGTACGTTCGATCGTTTCTAACATTCTAACTAACAACACCGGGACCGTCGACGAGACGAACCCGGCGAACACCGCGTATTATTATATTATAATATCCGTCCACATGGAATGACGACGTGGCGTTATCGTTAACGGCACTTTGATAAAATATTCATAGCATAAATATTATTTATTTCCGGTTTTTTTTTTTCGTTTCGTACATACACGTACGTCCGAACTGTGATGTATCGACGCGGTGTTTTTTTTCACCGTTTAAATTTCACACGTCCCCCAGATCGATTTCGGCCTTTGCGTTTTTCGGACATTCCAGTCATTCGCGATTTATTTTTCCCCGCGAATCACCGCCGAGAGCCGTACCGTCGTCGGTTAAATCGGACGGTTTATTATTAGAGAGAGAGAGAAAAAAAAAAAAATCTTTTTTCGGTTCTATGTACGTATTGCATAATAATATTACCGAACCCGTTCACTCGTCGTCGACAGTGGCATACCACTGCATAATTATTATGCATATGAAACACTGTTTAACTGTTTAATACAGAGTGATCCACTTATCACGAACCACCGATATTTTCTCGGAGGGTTAGGTTAGTGTAGGTTTACCCTTACTCGTTGTAACTGAAACAAGTATACATAGGAACTTTGGTTTTTCAAATGACGACCTCCTTTTTTTGAAACACAGATTCAAATAGAAAATATTACGTTTTTGTTATTTTGGTAAATGCATGACACTAATATCGCATTTATAACTGTTTATGAGTTATATAACAGTTCAAAGTTTAGACTGGGAGAGTAGGGAACTAGGGAAGGGTATTAATTTATCATTTAAAAAATAATAATAATGCAATTAATTATTCTTTACGACTTCGGTCTCAATGATAAACTCGTATACCTAACTCATTAATGATAAATCCGATATTAGTGTTATATAGGTATTCAAATATACATTTTATGAAAAAACAAAATTTCTATTCGAATCCGTGTTTAAAGAGGAGGAAGCCCATTTCAAAATCAAACATATATAGGTACTCATTTAAGGTACATGTAAGGAATAGAGGTAACGCATTAAAAATAATTTTAAAATTAAGCAAATGCAATTAAAATCTTTCGATACGGTTGCTGGTTAAGCAAGATTATAAGTGGATTATGATGATGACGTGTTGTAAGATTTTTTTTTTTTGTTCTTATTACCTACTGTTTTGTTGTGGTCGTACATTTTATTCATATTGATAATAAAAAAATACCGATACTGTGGTTACCAAAACTAAAAGAAAAACCCCAAAGGCCATAAATCTTGAAACTCGAGAAGTTTTTTTGTTTGGTTTTCCTCCGGGCTACGTTTCTAATCTCGCAAATGCGTTTTATAATTTCTTCGGAATGAACGTTCCTTTATCTCGTACGACAACGTGCGCTGACCGGGGTGAATGTACTGCGCTCGTGAATCGTGAATAATTGACACTAATAATTTGTTCACTTCCTGCACAATATGAAATCATAACATGTGTAACGCACTGTGTAATCTCGAAATTGATAAATTTTAAATTTTGCGGCCACAATATAATAATAAATAATACTTAGATACGTACGGTACACGCATGTTTTTATCATTATTGTGAAGATTGTACATTGTAATGTAGATAACGAAAACCTTTGAAGTATCATTTATAATAAATAAACCTCCGAAACGAAGTGAACTGCAGTATTTTTTTTTTTATTTTTTTTTTTAATATTATAATGGACTAACGTTTTTCCTTAGTATAATTATTAAACATATTATTACTGACCAGATACGTGAATCATACACCTATAATTATAATATGGCCGTTGAACTTATGTTTAGAAACCGGAAACTTGAATATCTTCTCTTTCCATCAAAATATTACGCGATTAATATGTGAAAAACAAATTTTTTATTCAGATTCTTAGTGCCTACTGTGAATCGTGGACATGTCCCACCGAACTCACTCTAGTAGTTGTGCAAACATCCAATAAAAAAAAAATATCGTTTTACATACATAATCCGGATTCCTGATAATAATAATAAAAACGATGGTAACATTATTATTATAATCGTTATTATTTGGTACCACGATACAGCAGCGCGTTTTACCCACGTGCCGCCGCAAGAGTATGGAATAACAATTTCGTTTTAATATCTGTTTCAATATTATTACTATAACATGTCGAGCTGTATGGCCAGACAAAACAGTTTATTTTTTTTTTATACAATCATGTCGTTGGATAACGTCAAGACTGCAAATAATAGCTACCTAATAAATATAGGTAATTGTTAATGCGTTTGCAATGTTTGTATATACTGATTGTAGTCGCACTGCGGGGAGTCGACGCCGCATGCGCATCGTATTTGATTAAGATTTGATTAGGTAGGTATCTTTGGCCAAAGTTCTGAGTCGATGTTTGAAATTTTATTTTATGATTTCGTCTTTTATATTTTTTACCCACTCAATATTTTTTTAATCTAAATGACAGTTAAGTGTATAAGGCATATATTATACACACGGGTTAGAATATAATAATATAATATATTATACTCTAACTCGTGTTTTGCTGGAAATTATAATATCTTAAGTCATGATGATGCACTTTTTATTTGGTAAATAAGGCGTAATAAGTCTTACGAATTATACGAATCAATCCGTTTAACCAACGACCATTTAAATTGACTTAGCTGGGCTTTCCTGGAGCCAAATATGTAGTATAGTATGAGCTATAAATTTAAATTTATTCTGCGATTTTCGCATTAGAATATTATTCAGAAAGCCAATGTCCGTCCTATCTGTATCTGTTCGATGGTAAATGCGCGTACACGCATCCTTTATATTTTGTTTGTTTTGTTGACAAATCGCCAAAACGGTATAACCACACATTCCGACGTTCATAAACATTATTTTAAATTCTAAGCTAGTTTCAAAAAATATTGTATTCTTTTTTGTTTTGTCTTGGTAAACACTTTCAAAAGTTAGTAAAAAAGCTCTGATTTTTTCACAGAATATTTTAAAATATACGGATTTTACGCCCGGTGGTACTTCATTTGGACAAATTTTCGGAATTCTTTATTTTACTATTTTTTATTAATATTTTTTTACTTCTAAATATTGTTTTGCTTAGGCGAATACTCTGGGGTTTTTTTTAACGCAGTACCTCAATAAATGTGAACATTATCTACCGGTGGTACTTTTTTTAATTTTTGGGTTTATTATCCTGATAAGAAGGGAAAAACCACCACTAAAATACTACTCCATTCAGAATCGTTTTTTTCTTCATTTGCAATAATTAATCATTGCACACACAGTATATAAACTTAATTACCCGTTATATTCAACCTTCTAAACTATACCCATCTACAATCGCGGATAATCCATTAAAATGTTATTAGGTTATACGACCAAGAAAGGATCTTGCGTATACGGCAACAAAATATAAAACGGCACAAAACTTGACCAAGATCTTTGGTTATTGATGTTTTAACATCAACAACTTTATTCTAAAACTCGGTAGCTGACTTTACTAAAATGTTATTCCTTGTACGTCGCGACATTCTAACATCAATTACCTTATCCCAGCTTTTGGTACTATTGTATTTCAACTACTCCTCGTAGTTGAGTATGCATGTATAAATTCGCCCGGTAATTACTACAGAACGCTAGGTAACCTCGGGAAACCATGTTTATACTTAAACTCATAAAAACAATTAAACTCATACGAGTCTTCCAAAATATTATACACAATACTTTATTTAAACTGGCTGGGCTCGTTCTCCGGGCTTTCTATCCCAAGTCCCGGAGATGGTGATTTTCACAATAATATTTTAATAATATTTTTTAATAGTTTTTTTTATAAAACAAACGTATCAGCCCGCGACAGTTGCGCGCTGCCCCTGCTAACATGTTTTGCTGAGTACACGTACCTAAGTACCCATATAATACAATATATATTATACATTAACAGCGAAAATAATGCTGGTGACGGTGAGGATCGCGTAAAACAATATTATAATATATTAAAATAGTTTATTATTATTATTATTATTGCAGGCTGGATATATTATGCAGTTATTGTACTGCGGAAAATAATAAGCTATATCATGTGTATATGTTTAATAATACGTTTTCTGCCCGTGTCAACAAGTTTTATTCTTTTCTACACTAATAATACAGGTAGAACAGGTAGGGACATATACGGGGACCGAAAGTGTTAAATTACACTCGAATAAATCTCGGGGTAGAGTTCCTATATAGTATGTATTATATAACATTTTTCGTCTAACATACTTACCCGCAGCGAGTTTCAAAATATTAGATGTCACACGGTGATTTTATCGCGAAAACATGACGTGTAAACGCAATAAGAAAAACGAATTTCGTTTAAACAACACCCATGCGTATTTTGTACATTTGTAACGTGTGATACTTAATATGTAAATCATTACAATAATATAATTTCTTTGAATCATTTTTTCCAATCGTTTAGTTATTATTTTCATTATCAATTTCGGCGTTGAAAGGTCATCTTTTTGTATTATGTGTGGTCAGTAAGTTTAGTTAATTGTTTAGGTGCACAAACGCATTCAAATGAAATATTATGTTTACTCATCAGATAAGACTGTACTAATTTATGAATTAATTTCGGCAAAGTTAATTTTATCACATCGTTAACAATACAATTTACGAAATATCGATAACTATTGTCGATTTTTGCCCAAAAAAATGCTGAACTTTTATGAATTATTACTTATGATTAAGTGCAATGCTCAATTTGATATCATATTACCGAAGCATGAAATAGAAACGCTTTTATATTTTTGTTCTATTTTAGTTGTCTAGTTTTTTTTACATTCTATACTGTAATTTTAATACATTTTTATTTTACTAATATTCCAAGATGTTCTGTTTATTATAAGTATTGGTACCTGCCAATGTATTGTCAGTTGTCATGAATACTTGCACTGTTATTATAAATTGTTCGTGTGGTTTTCGGCTCTTGGTCTGTTAATAGATTATAACGCGTAAGATAGGCCACAGTATCATATTATTTGGTATCTTATTACTGGACAAACTACCTGCAAGTAGCTATATTTTTGTGACCGTATTTATGCCGGGTTTTTTTTGCGACAGTACACTAACGTAACAAACACAAATATATTATAATATAGAGTGTCTCACGAAGATATACCATTTCAATATCTATTATTTAAGTTACTAGTTTGATAAATTTCCCATAGAAAAAAATCTCGAAAAAAGTGAGATATTGCTATGGGTATATATCTTCGTTGGACACCTGTATTCGAATATATCGGTTTTGAATTTTAAACCAACTTTGTATGATTTTTTTCTGTAATATATATATATATATATACATACATCAATAGCTAAATTGTCGCGCGCGGTTACAGAAAAAAAAAAATATTGTTTATACGTTCGTCGTCTGTACAGAATATGGGTCGTCGTCGTTCATTATTGGCCCTTGACATTAACGCCGACGACGTTAAATATAGAAGGTATAACGAAATCAAAGGCGGTAAACCGCACAGTAAATTTTTGTTTTTGTCGTTCCGTAACCTTAAAACTACTAATACACTATTATTGTTACTATTTGGTCAGGTAAATATTTTCCATTGAAAAAATTACAGATCAAATATTATTAAAAAACGTTAAGAAGAAAAATCGAAGCTCGGCGCAATGTGAATAATATTTTCTCCCTGTACTTATTTTAACGACGTTACGGTGAACTAACTTTTTTTTTTAGAAAGGTTTCCAAGGCCACTTCGACAACATTTTCTTTTTTTTTTCTTTTAATTTTATTATATTTACTTAATACAATTATACAGACATGAGGTTCTATGAAAAACTAAACAATTAAACAGTGATACAAACTCAATAGTAATTTATTATGGCGATGGGCACTTCACTTAAAATAGTTTTAATATAATGGTTATACTGGTTAGTTTTTGGTTGGCATATATTAAGACACGAGAGACGAAAATTGAAGATATTCAAGGATACATTAGGAATGAATGATCAAGAGCAGAATGCATGACCCAAATCATGAAGGATATGAACAAAGGAAAAAAATAAAGATTTAACGAATTAACCTACAGTAGAGAGGCATGTATAGAAATGTAAATACTAATATGGGAATGGAAAACTAGAAAAACAAAAACAAATGTATGCTACCAATTGAGTATTATTTTTTAAACCTCGCATCGTTTTGTTTTCGTGTAATATCCGAAATGCCCCCCACCCTCCCCCCCGATAACTTTATTTTTAACGGCCTCGAGTGTGATAAACTGAATTATTATTTTTATTCGTTTGTTGGCATAATAAAAATATTTTATATTATACTAGGTATATACCAATAAAATCGTGAATACACTTTTAACTTTGCATTTCCATTACGAGAAACGCTTATACAAGGGGATACGTTTTTCAAAAAACTATATAATATTTTATGTATCGATTTATGTAAAACTGTTTTTCAAATAACAAGAATACGAATAAATAAGCAGCAACAATTCAACGTTTATCGCTATTTGCTAAGGTTTATATTTGAATGTTAAAACGTTAAACTGTAAAAATCAATCGTTTATATAATACATATTTATATTGGTACGAAAGCTACTTATTTGAACCGGTAGCATCATAAATATTAATAATAGGCCCAGATGTCTGGGCTTTTTTTTTTTGTTGATATAATAACCCAAAAATAAAAGTATAGATTTTCGTCATCGGTTGTAATCGAAATAAAATCACGTAACCGATTGAATATCAAATATGATAAGCGTATTGCTCTGTCCAATATTACAGTCCAGATTTCAAAACAACTTACAATCTAAACAACAGCAGATGTCATCCTGAAAATAAAATTAATTGAAAATCAAAAAAAAAAAAAAAAACGAAAACGTAAACATTTAAACATTTAGAACAAAATGGATACTAACTAAACTAATTGCTATTAAGATATTATCGTTAAAATGAAACTTTGTTGTTTTTGTCTGGGAGGCGTCTGAGTCCGTGGTTTTGATTTATACTTGAGTAGAGTTCATGATCCAGAAAAGGTTAACAACTTATGGTTTAGTGACATTCTTCATTCCTTTCAACCGTTCTATTATTTTATGAATCGTGTTAATTTTTTTTTCATTTTATACTATATAAAAAAAAAAAAAAAACGAAAACGTAAACATTTAAACATTTAGAACAAAATGGATACTAACTAAATATTTCGATTCGTGTAAGACATGCACGAAGTGAAATTTTTCGTTGTTTTTAAATTTTCTGGTTATTTTTTAATATCGTTGCGTGATTTAATTTTTAATTTTTTAGGTCATTTTTGAAGACATTCAAATCTAGTATTTAAAGACTATAGGTTTTCTTAGAATTTCCGATTTTTTTTTTCTTCATTAGAGTTTACGAATTATATACTATGCGCGAGTATTTATGCATTTTTATCTCTTTTACCGAAGTGATTCAAAACGTTCAGAAACGGCTGTCTTATTGGAAATAGCAAATCCAATCGTTAAGAAAATGTTTGTACAAATAGGTACCTATATATATGTATATTACGTACAATGATTGTTGTAAGTTTATATTATTATTTGGTAGCTTTATTTTAAATAATATACTTTGTGTTATATAAACTGCAGAACTGTTTTAGACCGGTCTTCGTTTAAGCATGTATACAAAATATAAAATGCCGCAAGCTCATAAAAGCAACAAAGCTTTCTTTTTCATTTTTATTTTTTTTTTTTTTTGTAAAACGTCTGTCTTTCAGCATTTTATATTTTATAATGTATTCTTAATGGCCAATGGCCACCGAACAGACGGTAATATTGTTCGTTGCAGCTGATGCATTTATCTTACATAAACGTCACTGTTTTTGGCAAGATATAGGGACGAAAAAAAAAATAAATATATCCCATCACTCATAAAAAAAAAAAAAAAAAAACTCTTCGCTTCGTAGATCAATATAAACACGCCTAATCATTTTTCGATTCTGTAGACCGATATTTTTTATAGCAGCAGACTTACCTATTAGTTATCTAATATGATATATATTTTATAATCGTTCATTTTATCAATATTAAACTTACTATGATTTTGAAAATCATTTATTTTATTAATATAGTTTATCATGTTATAATTATTACCGTTTTTCTCGAGCACGGGTAATTTATACACCAACGATTGCAGTTATAATTTACCCAGCACACAATTAATTTAGTCCTATTAATTTAGTATAATCCTAACGACCAATTATTTATCTTATATTATAATTAAGTATAGAGATCACGAAGTCTAATATATACGTATTTCAAGTAACTTTACACTTTAATCGCATAGTATTCACAAATTTCAGTGGTCAGAATATTCTAACTTATAGAGTCAAAAATAATATAATGTTTGTTTTAGTTTTTCGATACATTTTTATCTATTTCGTATACTGTTTAAAAAAAAGGCTGATACTTTTTATAGGTATACCACTGTTTCAGGAACAAAATTAAAAGGGGGGATATTCAGAGTAATTTAATTTATATCTGTACGTAACGACTGTTAATGAAAAAAACGATTCTGAGCAGAGGACTATTTGTCGTATTTCTCTCCATTTTGACAAGGTAACCCAGAAATAAACTAAAATTTTACAAACAATTGCCAGTTTTTCCCATTTATTAAGAAAATCACAAGGAAACTAAAAAATGAACCCCTTGGTTTGCTTAGAACCTAAATAAAAAAATAAAATCGAATTGATGTAGATATTAAAAGGCATTGAATTATTATTGTTAATAATATAATATATTATATAAAATTACTAAGTACCATATTTTTATAGGTTTTTCGTGCAATTTAATTTTATTGAAAAAATAATCATACGTATCATTATTATGATATAACGCCATAACTGTGTATAAATGATAATAATAATAATACCTTATAAACATATAAATTATAATTATTGTTTATGTATCAGCAATATCTTATTAACTATTTTATTACTCGATGCACATACTGTATTTAAAAAATAGGTTAATTGAGATAATCATTTGATACAAAATATACGATTATGTATTTTTTTTTTTTAGTAATGTGTACCCGTGCGGTTGTTATTAATATAATATATGCGATAAAAAAAAAATAACAATGCCAATTAACTGAAATTTTCAAATATTTCCACGTATTGACGGTATCGTTGAACTTCTTAATTAAATTCTACATAAAACATAATAATTATATCATTCGTAAACAAAGTATGAATGTTATTTTATAAATTCTATTATACTACGTTTTTTTCGTTTTTCCGTTTTTTACGTTTTTTTTTTTATATGGTATTGATGATGTCATTTTTAATTTGTTCATACCTATAGGCTTTGGAGGCACATTTTATAGGGTAGATAAGAATATTCTAATTTTAACTATTTTGTTGGCATTTAATTTTGTGATATAAGACTATAGTTTTGCCCGTGTTAGAATTGAACGAAACAAACACAATTTTAAAAACATGTTTCTCCGTAACTCCCTGTTTCAACCCCGTTTCTATCAGTTAACCGGTGTTTCTGAAAATTAAAAAAAAATTAATTTTCTTTAATTTCCTCTTAATTCTCTAGTGTTTGAATTTTGAACAAATCCTTTCTTAGCGGTTGCCTCCCGAGCCTTCTATTCGCGCCTATGCTACAAACGTTCCCCGATTTTCAATGAATATGTGTGTAGAATTTGGTGTCATTTGATTTGATAGTTTTTAAGTCTATACGAACGAATCACATCCATTTTTATATAAGTAGCTTAATATGGACGGCTAACAATACTTGGAAAGGCAAAATTTGGAAAATAATAATTACGACGTCAAAGTTCATGAAAGTGTATAATAAAGTTATTTTACAAATTTAGTATTTCCATGTTTTACGTTTTCCAAGTTATGCCTTTATGCATTTTTCCGCGTTTTTATTAATATAGTTAATATAGTATTTAATTAACTACTTTATTAGTAGTATACAGTGTGTCTCACCATGTTCGACGAATTTTTCTAGCGCTGTTAATATTAAATTTGTTTAGGTTTTATTTTTTTCAATCGGTTTATCTTCGAGAGGGACATCGATTTGAAGAAAAATTAAATTTGTATAAAATTGAAATTTTAACAATTTTCTAATATTAATAAATAACATGTTATTTTTTTTTTTTTTGTGTTTAGGGAAGAAAATAAAAATGTCTCCAAATCGATATCCCCCTCAAAAACAAACTGATTGAAAAAAAAAATCGAAAAAATTCAATATTAACAGCACTAGAAAAATCTGTCAAACATGGTGGGATACACTGTTTAAATATATTATTATTATAGTATTTACACAATATATCCCAGAGAGCTTATACACTTTAATGTATCTGATGAATAATTCGGGCCACTGATCCACTGCTGTAACTCACATCATTATCGTCGCAATATTCTGCTCACAATTTAAATTTGCGATGACTGATGGGCGATATTATTATTGCTTGAGTTAACCACAACAGCGTTTATATAACAGTGAAAAGGTATAACGATGATCGAGTACCAGCTATTTGCCCCCTACTCACTTACGTCGAAATAAGACAAGTCGTACAGTACCCGACATTGACTTTTCAAAAACGGAAACATGCAGTATTATATTCCACTCGCAGTGATAACCTTATTGTTCTTAACAATAACACCCCGATTATTTTTCGATTTGAAATTTGACGAAATATTATCGTACCATTATAATATCAAAATGGCATTTTAAACGAGATTTCCGTTTAATCTTTATATATTAATCTGAAATAATAATCAAATAGCGAAACTCATTTATCTTAAATTATTTTATATATCTACTTATATTTTATTATATTATTATGATAATCATTCTGCGTTCGTTCGTCCGATAGAATTCCACGCGAAATTTCGAGTAATTATTCTACCTACGGGTACGCGTAGCAGAAGCGATCTAATAATTTTTATTCGGAAAAAAAGTATCTCGAGTGTCTTTAGTCGAACGCGGCTGTAACCCGTATATCATTATAGGTTAGTTTGTAGTAAAGGTCGAAGAACATTACGGTGTAATCGAATAATCCCGCAAGAGTATCTAATAGTAGGAGTATTCTATTCCCGAGTACATTTTGCGTCCATTTCGTCTCCGATTTAACGCGGAATCTTCGGGGAAACACGACTATAGTAAATATAGTAGTAGTAGGAGTGTACCCATGTGAACACACATGTATATATAGATGCCTGGTACACTCTACTGGAGTTTTTCACTGGATCACATTTGACATTTATACAGGGTAAATTAAATTTATTACGTTCCGGTTACGCACCTACCGCCGTACACGGCGTTATCGATTTCCAAGCATTAGCAAAACTGCGACTGTCCACGTATAGAGTACGTTATTTACAAAACGGTTCGGAACCATTTGAGGTGCGATCGAGGCTGTGCCCGGAAAATGCGCCACTATATCCAACATTGTTTAATCTGACCTTTAAAAAAATTACAAGTGGCACGAACGAGCTATACAGAAAACGGAATTAAGCAAAATAGAGAATTGATTATACTGGGAAACGCTGACTGCAGATATTGTTGTACAATCAACTACAAAACCTACTCATAGACATCAGTAGGTCAACGGGGTCTATTATGTGTTAATGACGATAAAACTAAGTACGTGGCGGCGGAGCCTAAGAACAGTTTAAATGTAAATGATCTATGGGTAGGTTATCTTAAATCCGGAACAGATATGAAAGCCCGGAGTAAATGTATTATCGACATCAAAAGTAACACGCACCGAGAAATAAACGAAAGAATTATGAGCAGGAACAGACGCTATTATCGCGGTACATAATGAAGATTCTAAAGTCAAAATCGTCGTCGTGCATACATCAAAGGTACGGTTGCGCGTACCATAGATATCTACGACTTATACGCACTTACTCTTCAATAAAAACAATAGTATTCGAACGAAAAGTACTCAACAACATATTGTTATAATATGTAAACTGCAACGGTCAAAGTAAAAATATGTTTGAGCGTCAAAACCACGCCGAAATACAATGAAAATTGTATCAGCAAGGCTACAACAAGCCAGATATTCTATTATTGTTTATCAGAAGTAAACGACTGGAAAATTATTTGGCCATATAAGGAGAGCTCAGAACGGACGGTCAAGTGAAAAAAAAAGTAAAGATACCGGCGGAAAAAATAAATAGGGCTGTTCGGAAGATTGTTGGAACGCGGTGATTTGAGGAGGTCGTTTCCGCCAACAATTTTATTTTCGTTTCCATCAACTGTCGTTATCCCAAAAATGAAAACATGAAAAAGGTTCGATTTTCGTTTTCACCTACTTAAGTTTGTAGTTTGAGAACCATTTAGAGTTATCCAGCAGTCATTATAAAGAGGCGGTTTTCATTGACTTTCCAACATTTTTTTCTGCAAATTCTATTAATCACATCCGCAAGTTAATATACTGTCAAAACTTATTGAGAATAATTGTCGAGCCTTTTTTTTTTTTTTTTTTTTTTAATATAGCGTGAGTACGTAACATATATGTAGCAGCTATTATGCGTGCATTATAATTTATATACTTCAATATCAAATCGTGGTTTGTCCTAAATCTGTATACATCTACTGATAGCCCAGATTACCATAATTTACGGCTAGGGGTTCTCAAACAATAATAATATATTTATTGAGGTAGGATTTTAGATTTGGCGGGTGCCTGTAAAATCGAACATTTTTCATTTCGGTGGGAACTGTAGTTGGCGGCAACGATTGGCGCCCTTCAAAAGAGGTATTTCTCAGATCCGAATGACGCGGTCCGCGGGCGTCCGTCGTTTCCGGCAAAACGAAAAAGACCGTCGGATCCGAAAAAAATTGCGGCTTTCCGAACGGCTTCATTGTGCAGCCTTTAATGCCGGTTAACATTCGCGATACCTTTATAAAACACCGGGCCTATTACGGGCCTTAATGTACCGGCAGACCGAGGATGGAAACGTTAGATTTGTTACGTTGCAGCGGGTACACACGACCTTGTGTGCCGTCGTCGTCGCACACCGCGATATCGATTCGATGCGGTTTCGAACGGGGGTGTGCGGATGCGGCTGCGGACGTCGTACAGAGTCGTCCGTAATGTTATGTACGAACGTTGCGTGGGTGGGTATTTGGTATTACAATAATAAAACACCGCTTCCGATACACGCCGTGTTCGTGATACCGTCGTTATTATCGTTATCGTATTATTCCGTTTCTGCGGACCGCCGGGTTGTTATCATCACTGTACGTACACGCAGCCTACCGCGTTATTCCGCGAGCGGGGCGGCAGTGAGGGGCGGGGGGAATCGTTCGAGGTGATATTTCGGCGGACGTGTGCAGCGTATCGACTGGCTTATATGCGTTGGCGTATATTATTGTGTTACTGATAATATCACTGCGTGTTCTTATCGTTGTATCGACAGTGCGGCGGGTGCCCGTATCTGTCTTGTGTCACGGCAGGCCCGTAGCAAAAACGTCGGATGGGGCGAATCAAATTTTAAGAGGTGGGGGGGGGTGAAAATATTAGAAAATAAAACAATATAAATACGTATACATTTTTAAGGCTTGTTGGAGAGGGGGCGACGATCAGGTCCAGGCGGACAATGCGCCCCGTGGCCACGGGCCCGTGTCGCAAATGCCCGAATCTCGGCCTTCACCGCTGGAAATATTGCGACGCTTGAGTAAACATTCATCACTATAGCACAAGATTGCAACGACATTTCGTGGGACGTGAAACTATTATGACAATAAGAGGGCCGTAATTCGGCTGTATAAAAACTACGCGGCAAAATAACTACTCGAGCTATGGACACAATCAGGACTCGAATGATTTTTTTCGTAATTGTGACATCAACAAAATTCGAATCAACTACGCACAGCGCAATTTCTCTTTGATGAGGTGATGGTGAATATTTGATTGTTCGCTTAAATCCATAACCCGAGTAGTTTTTCCCCGTGCGAAACAGTTTCTTCGTTTCATGTTTACATAATAAATACTTGTGATAGTGGCACGGCCACACGGGATTTCTCCGACAGTAGCGTACACTCTAAATTAAATTGGAGAATTAATTTAAATGGCTAGTAGGTATTACACACATCACGAAACCCCCAACAAAACTCTTCAAATCAGATAAGCGTTTGCTTGGCAACATTCTTTAATTATTAATTTATACGATAAATTTCTTTGTAGTTTTTAAAATTATTATACATAGATATTTTCAGGCCATCATTATCACCGTCTACTCAAATTTCTGGGATAACAGCTGGTACCCCAGAACCCATAATTGTGCACTAGTGGACTACTCTTAAGTATGTTTGAAAGTGAATTTGATTATTTGTGAAGACTATTTTTTTTTTTTTTTTTTATTTACTCACATGTATAAGGACTATACATATTTATATTTCAATTGATTTTTATGTTTTAGTAAAAAAATTAAAGATATAAATTTGTATTTCATTATTTATGAAAAATTCGAAAATAGCAATTTCATAGAGTTTATTTTTATGAACATGTTGACGTATCAACTTTTTATTTTCAATAAATTCGTGATTTTTAAAAAATGTTTAAAGTTCGGAGAAAAAAAGTGTATAGTCAGGTAGCCATAATAATAATTATGTAGATATTTTATATTAAACATAAAAATATAATAAGATAAACGACATAAATTGCTCGAACGCATTTTACAAAAATGTTTTTTAACGGCAGAGTTCTTATTTTCTCCACTCAATGTCAATTCTGTTTACCGGTATTTAATATTTATTAATTTGATAAAAAAAAAAAGTATTTACGCGTCGTAATTTTGTATATACAAGTGGACTGTAGGGGTCGAAGTCAATACTTCAAAGTAGGATTTTATAAATTTTCGATTTCTGTTATGAGGCCGTTCACACTTGAATTTTAAACGTTTTTTTTTTATTTCTCGTCACTTCGTTTATAGAAATAAAAAATAGAATACTTTTTATATAATATTATATAGTGAACGAGTTATTATTATTAATCTATTTGGTTAATTATAAATAATTCAAAGGTATTATTTTCAGTCGATGATTGTTTTTTATACGACAGTTTATTGAAAATATATCAGCGACAAGGAGAAGGGGTGTGCAGAACCCTTATGCCACCCTCCTCTCGTCAATCCGTCACAATAAATATAAAATTAATTAATTTTTTTTGTCGTGAATTTTTTTTTTTTTTTTTTTGATAAGGCAGGGTTTCACTTTTATCTTTTTTATGATCCGTTAAATACGAAAAAGGGTTTAAACGGTTAGATTTATAGGATATTATTATTTTAATGTTATTCAATCCGTTTCGCGATTATTGTCGGTCGTTTGTCGATATTTCACTATCGTTGTGGAATATCCGTTTTATCTTCGTATAATATATATGAAACGTAGAACAAAATAATATAATATTATTTCGAATCGCAATAATAAAAAACTAATGGACAAACATGGATGTCTACGGGGAACTTCAACCAACCCGTCCACTTACCACCCCCTTGTTAGTTATTTCACACTGCACAAACTTTGCCGCTGCCGCTGTCGTTGGCTCGACTTGGCCGGTTTCCGCTGTTATTTGCACTTAATGTCCGAATCATTATTTGTCAAACATTTGACGTTGAGACGTGTTCAAAAAAAAAAAAATAAATAGCTGATACTCGATAACACATGACACGCGTAACATGTAACACACAACTAGTCATACTAATGATTATAAATACCATTCATAATAGTAATTTATGTAATTATAATCAATGTTGGTAGTCTTGTTGCTCTAGATATTAAAATGGCTATTTCTAAGAAACTATTGATAAGACATGAATTAATGATAAGACACATTAACATTTTTAGAATATTATATTTTATAAATTGACTATACTGAACATTTTTAAAACCGTGAAAAAATAAAAAGTAATTTTTTTTTCAGTGATTCGCGTACTAGGCATTTTAGAATTTAACAAAAAAAAAAAAAAAAAACAAAAACATAAAAACAACCACAGCCCATGCTGTAAACAAGCTTATCGATCGGATTTTTAGACGTCCAACATTGTATTAATTATACATAAAAGGCGATACTTTATTCATTTTAAAGAATGATTACTTTTTTTTACAGTGTTTTGAGTATTCATTTTTAGAGTTTTTAAGTTGTTATTTTTTTTTTTTTTGTACAAACACAATATTACACCATCATTTGTTATTGTATATATATATATATATATATATATTTGATACGTTAACACTCTATGTACATAGCTAGAGGAGTAAGTATACGAAAAGTTTAGATTTGAAGTGTGCTGGACAAACGTCGAAATAATGATATACGTCAGTTGCCCAGCAATTCAATAATACGCTTCTTCACTCTTCTACAAACTTTAAATACTTATGAATAATTGACGTAATATCTTTTCGGTGTACAACGTAAGATTAATAATTATAATAATATATTTCGAATTCGGATACGGAATTATTATGATGTTGAGAGAAGCGAAAACACGACTCCAGGCTATATAGACTTATTTAAGAAAACGTATGTTTGCGAATTGCGATGGAAAAAAGATAATTTGCACTGTGCAACGTTGATTTTATTTTTTTAGTATCTAAAAACTGTACGTAAAAAAAAAAAAAACATTATTTAAGTTTAAAAATAAAATAATTTTAAATTTTACCTGCTCGAATAACTTTTTTTCTAATATTGATACCGAAAAACTAAAACCATTGTTGCAAAATGTAAGTTCTCTAGTTCTATGGGGAAAATCTAGTTTTACCTGCGTGAAACGGTTTTTCGTAAACATTTTTGTTCGTTTCACGGTTAATAAATAAATACTAGTGATAACGACATATGAATAAATCTTTATGAATAACTTAAAAGTGAATTGGAATATTTTGGTGTTGATAAAATTTCATTTTTCCAAATCTTAATAGACAAAAAAACGTGACAGTCAGAGGTGAACTGATACAAATGCTTAGATTCGTTTACGATATTGCCTTAAAAGGAAAAAAAATGACAAATATTTGGAGATTACATCGGAAGAGATGTAGAACTGTAGAAGAATACAACCCTAAGATAATTTAGCAAAAAACTAAGGTTTATCGGTTATTCTGAAAACAACAGATCCAAAGACTTCAAATTGAATAGAATAATAGTAAAACGTTACAAATATCTAGGCATTTGAATCATTCGTTGCGTTAGAGCGCTCGGAAAATCAAATCTAGTATTGCATAAGGACCATCAACTGCATTTACGAACCATTAGAAACTGCACCAAGAATATAAGCGTGTGTGTGAAAAAAAAAAAATTATGAAAGGGTTAGGATGCGCGGTTGATAGGAGGAGCAGAAAAAAGCCAATATCTATTAGAAAACGTCAAACTATGGCGGTGGCGAGAAACGCCGGAGTTAACTGGACCGAATTAAGCATCGCCGACAACGTATTTACATATATGCGTATGATGAAATGGACGAATCGTCTAGAGAGTTATTAATATCAATCAAAGAATGGATACGGACGTTTATTGGATACACACGACGAGTTTCACCGTGAAACGATCGAAGGACGTGTGCGCGCGACCGGCGCTCGTCAAACGAATATTTATTATTTTTCTAACGCCGGGCTATACACGGACTCGAACGGACTATAGCCGGCGACCGCGGGCTAGGACGAAATGGACGCGCAATAAGGTTGCAAAACTACACCCGGGGAATCCGAACCGAAGCGGAGAACGGACACAATGCGGTACGATTATCGTATACAAATGAGGTGTGGATAATTTTTTTCGGCGCCGAAACGCGACGGCGTAACGACTCGTGCCGATTTCCGTTTTCTCCCCCGGCCGCGTTTCGACCGGGCGAAATTGTTACCGTTGTCGCGGTCTAACGTTGTCCGGGATCGCGTGTTTTCTATTTGTTCGTTTCGAGGCCGTTGTCGCCGCGCGCGACGCAAGGCCGCCGCCGTTCGCGTGTACGCGGCGTCCGGATAATCTCGGCCCGTAATCGCGCGGCCGTTGGACGCGGGGCCCCGCGCATCGCGACACTACACAACGTTATTGTTGCCGTTATCGCTGGTCGCCCGGAGTTCGCGCGCGGCCAGGCGATCGAACGGAACGTAACCGTTAACAGCGTACCGCGGGACGCCACCGCGGTGCGACGGCCGGCCGCCGTGCCGCGGCGACAACAGTGCGACGATAATATTAACACCGGCGGTTTCGGCGGGGGGCCGCGGTGATCAAACTCGCGTTTCCGCCGCGCGCGCGGCGCCAACGCAAACAATAATAATTACTAATCTCGTTACACGTACGCGCGTCTCGGAAAAACAAATTGCGGCGGCGGCGGCGGTGTTTTAATGTATTCCCGTACGGCTTACACGGCTCCCGTACACTTTTGCGCTGCGTATCGCGCGAATTCGTGTATATTTAATTAAATCACAACTTGCCGCGGTCTCTCGTCTGTGTAAATACGAAATCATTGTATTATTATCGTAGTGTACACGCGTGCCCGAATCGGATTATAACCGTCGCCGCCGCCGACGGCGTACGAAACGCGACCCGGGATTCGCACGCGCGCGCCGACTACGGACGTTTACTATGCCATCGAGGCGCCGCACGCAGAGAAAAATGGCCGAGAGAATGGAGTCGACCTTACCGCCGGAATAAGCGCCGAAAATCGGAACACGTTATGCGATCGTTACGCGAATCCCGGTTCGGTTTACCGACAGTGAACCTACACCCGCAGTAGGTGCGGCGCGAGACCGACTTGCACGTTATTATTCGCACGGCAACCGAATTATCGGAGACGAACGGAATGTTGTCCGACAGGATCGACGATAACAGCCGGTTATTCGCGTTTGTAACCGTACCGTTTGGATTTTCTAAATGATGCGCGAAAAATAGACGCGACAAATTTCGCACGTATGACATCAGTGAAATATAAAACAAATTTCGCGGCACGACGTCAGTGTGTGTTCTAGGGGTGTCACTGATAATGATACGCGAGCGCTAATATTATGCGTACTCCGTAGCCCCCCAATTATTGTACTATATTATTATTTTAACAGCCTATTCGAGTCTAGTACTCGACTTTTGACGAATTCTCGAGTCGAGTACAGTAGTACAGGACACGAAAAATTCAAGATTCTGAACGTGGCGAGAAATTTATTGGTTTTACTATTATGTGCGTTTTGTTGTGTGTGTGTGTAAACAACTATTCTACAGGAAAGTTTACTCCGATTAAAAACTTTATCGGAACTCTCTTGTATCAATTTTTTTTTTTTATCTAATTTGTGTATTTCCGGCAATCCCCTTCACCTTTTGATTATCCGTGTAGTTTTATTAATAAATGAGGAAAACCGGCTATTGATTGTATAATTTGTGTTGATTTCTGTGTTACTTTGGCAACAAGAGGTAAAATACGGCTAATTATTGTATCTGGTAGTTAAAAAATAGGCACCGATGAACGGTTATCGTTTAGGAAGGCGTATTTTTGTTATGGCAAATTCAAAGCAGAGGCAGATTTAAGAGGGACGCCAGATATTTCGGCCGTTAGCTATAGTCTAGGTCAATAGACTAGGTTTTTGTGAAAAGTTGTGACGTAAAACTTAAAAGGAACGAAATGTATAAAGATATGATTTATATAAGTATTGGCAATATCCGTTTTGATGACGATATCCGTTTTGAAAAACTTTAGGCGATTCATCATCAGATATTATCTAAGCAGCTACGACTAAAATATAGTTTAGTCTGACTAAAAAGGAGGTCGATCGCCATCCCTCCCCTCCCCCTTGATCTGCCTTTATGGATCGGATTTCAAAATAACTCGATGACTTGAAAATGGCTTTAACTAACCGAGGTGATAGCATCGTGCGCAAGTATAATAAACGGTAAAGTTTAAACTGTTTAGTCGGAATCATTTCTCGATTGCAATCCGATTTGTCGTAGGTACTTATACAGTTTTCGATATATTTCGAATAAAATATAATAACAACCCCTATGTATGCTCTACCCGTAACCTATAAACAAACCTTATCAAAACCCAAACTATAGTGCGTGATAATATTATATATTATTGTAAGTACGTCTTATCCGTTTTAGACCCCGGATGTTATGGCGTGCAAACTTCGATGTTACGCGCGACCCGCATTTTCGCACGATATTTTTCCCTAATATTATTATTTGATATCCGTTCGTATTTGGTCGTTCGGTTTTATGACCAATTATGCTTAAAAGTCTACATATGTATATAGAAATACAATAACTTAACACGGCGGGCTTAATCGAAATTTGTCGACGGATTTTTAACGATTGGTATCTGCGTAGGTACCTATATTCCTATACGTTTTCTTATTGTACGCTTCGGGGCATTAAGATCGTTTGGATTTATTCCAACATTTTGGACGAAAATCCCATAAATTACATCGTTGGGCGAAGGTGTGGCAAAAAAAAAAAAAAATCTGCGAGAGATTTTCCCCACGATAATGCGTGTATATATACGTACATCGCGAAGAAAAATCGTTCGCTTTCGATATAAATTATTATCGGTTTCTCCTACCTCTGCAGCGTACATTGAAAACCTATTGTCCGATATCAGCTGTGACTTTAATTTAAGTAAAACCGTGCGTTTAGCTATACCTAGTCAGAACCGCAATTGTTTGGAAAAATTTGATACATTTTGTTTTTTTATTGTTTGTACAATCGTTAAAACTAAAAGCTGAGTTTGAGATTTTACAAATCTATAAAAATAAAAAAAGGCTGATACTGCTGGTGAATGTGCCACTGTTTTAGGAGGGACGAGATTTTGGACGAGATAATACATTTACATTGATATTTGTACGCAAAGATAAGCCATTGAAAGTGAAAAACGATTCTGAGCAAAGTATTATTAGTCGTACTTGTTCACATTTTTGTCAAGATAATCCGAAAATCAACAAAATATACACAAATAATTGTTTGTTTTACCCATTTATTAAAAAAAATACAAACATAATCAAAAAATTGACTTTAATTCACCTAGTAAATTAAAAATTCAACATTTGAGTTTCATACAATTTTTGATTATAACTCGGATTTATAATAGACATGTTGTTTTTAGACATTAGACATATACAAAAAATTCGCATAATAAACACCAATACATTCCGTTTTTTGCTTAGAATCTAAAAAATAACAATTTGCATACGCTATATATATGTATTTTATTTTTTAAATTCAAAAATAAATGTGACAAATACTGTGGTCAAGTGAAATATATATAAGCTGAACATATTAAATATCCCGGATTTCGTTCGACGCTTTTGATTTTTTTTTGTACGCAAGCAGATATGACTTGATTTTATTTTTGATTACAACGAGAAATACATTTTAAAACCTAAATGTTTTAGCTAATTTCTGTTTTTAGATTCTGAGTGAAGCGAGGGAACTATGTTTTACTATGATGTGTGTTTGTTATTTTTTCTGTCTGTATGCAACTTTTCTCCTAGAAATCTTGCTCCAATCGAAACATGACACGAGGCCTTTTTTGTTGAATTTTGGCTCTATTCAGTAATAGAGGGTTGGTCATTTTTTCGAAATTCCCACTAATATTCAAGATAACGAGGAAAAACTGGTTCTTTAGGTTAAAGTAGATTTAAAGATTAAAATTAAAGGTGTCATTGGCAACCGTTTTAATTAATTTTTTGTTATTATTAAGTTTTTATGATTTTAATCTTTTAATATTTTTTAAAAAATTGTTTTTGTTGTGCAAACGCACATTGTTAAAAAGGCAATACCGACCGAGCTCCGTTCAGAACCATTTAAAAAATTTGAGATTTATTTTCAAACAAATCTGTACAAATTTTTTAAAAAAAATAGCATTTTTGAGTTTTTTTTTCACATTTCTTTTTGCTTATTTTAATAATTGTAAGTGCTTGTATTCAAGTATTTTCGCGATTTTTTCAGTGCTCATTTCGATGATTATAAGTACTTATAGTACCGTATCCTGGATTATTATATGTACATTATAATAATAAGTTTACTAGTTTTATAAAGACGCGTTGCATTTCGTACCCGGCGGTCTTTATACGAAACATTCCCTTTATAAATTTTTCAAAAAAAGAAGGAAAAATGCTCTTTATTTCTATATTGAAAACACGTTTTTCGTGAGTTTTCCTATCTTTTTTATTCGGTAGATTTTTTAAGAGGATTAGCCCGTGACACATCATATTATACAGGTACACCTCACCGACGAAACACAATAATAATATTATTATCACTACTGCAGAAAAGCGCGATGAAAGGTCTTTATACTCGGTTCGTTATTGGTTATAATATTCTGTACAGTAAACAAAACTCTAACGGTATTATAGCGGGAGCTGCTTTATTCATATTATTCTTCATTGAATTATTTAGCTGCACCGGGATCGGTATTATACGGCTAATTCGGAGTACACGCGCTGCAAATATCGTATATCATAATATAATATTATTTGATGTATTTCGAACTCTCCTATATATATATGTATATATTATATTAACTAACTCTTTAAATTCGCAGGCGTTCCTGAAACAATAATAATAATAATAAGGTTAGGTTTGATTTTTTTTTTAATATAAATATGTTGTTTTTCTTAAAACCCCCCTTTTTTTTTTACACGTTTGCGTCCGTAGAGATTTCCAGAGTTGTTTTAATTTAAATGAGATATCATACCTACAATGTTGAGCGACAATGTTGTTCACAACAATATATTACGGTAAAAACAAAAAAAAAAAAACAAAATCAGATCAGAAAATATAGATTTCATTCATAAAAATCACTTTTTTTTCCTCGGGGATCGTTCGAGAGTAAATATATCAGTTTAAAATGAAATAATTATGAACAACGTCCGAGGAAAAAGTGCTTTAAATTACTTTCTCGATAGGAACGAAACGTTCTTATTCGTCTCTCACCCATTCGCCGACGCCACAAACAATTACGGGTATACCGTACACAATGAAAATATGACTGAACCGTGGGTGGCGGGGAACGGGTAATCAGAGCTCAGAGTTCGGGTAACGGCGGACAAATCGATTCGCACCGCTTGCGTTTTCCGTTCGGTTAGCCGACGGCCGATGGCGTGTGTACGCCGCGCGTTACACAACAATGCGTCCTGCGTGATAATCACGTCGGTCGCGTGCCCGCGATGCGCAACACGGTCGGCGTTGAACATACGGAACACTCGCGTTTCCGTCGCGGGCCATTTCGCGCGCGCGAACACGCCCGAAAACCGGCGAAAATCCCCCGCGCCGCCGCGCGAAAGTAAACGCGAATCGAAACGTGCCGCGGGTTTGGTTCGTTTGGTTCCGCGGCCGTCCCCGGCGTCAATGGCGACAAATGCGTCGCGATAACGATTTCGCGGCCCTCCCCCCTCACCCCCCCGGCGGCCCCGTATAGGCACGCGCGTAAATTACCATCGCACGCACCGCGGTGCTATCGCTCACGTTACTGCGGCGCGGCCGCTGTTCCGAGCGCGTTAATCTCGACCGTGCGCGCGTCGTCGCCGTCGGCGTTAATTCAATTAGCCGTGAACTCGGGGCGACCTATGACCCAAATGGTCTAACGACAAAACGCCCGATAACAATAACAATAACAACAACAACAACAACAACAACAACAATAATAATAATAATAATATTACGATAATGCGCGGGCAGCCGGGCTCGGCACCGGCTACCGCCCGCCCCGGGGACCGTGCGGTATAACGGACGCGCGGAAGCGTTCAGACGCGGACCCGGAACGAAAATCCGGCGTACGGGCCTGTACACATTTTGTCGAGCGCGGCGAGATTTGCCGGGTTATCGACCGTCATATTGCCAAATCGTCCGGCGATGACGTATTGGTTTTCAATAAAGAAAAAAAAAAAAATCGCGTCTAATATTCAAATTCGAATACGAAATAACATCGAGATAATTTTTTTTTTTTTTTTTTTAATCAAAACCAAATCAATACACAAGTAATTAAACCGCCCGTTCAAAAACGATTTCCCGTCAATAGAAAATAATACGTACTTATGTACAGTATTAATTTTTAATTTAATGTAAACATTGAAGTCCGAGCCGTTCTGACAACGTTATCCGTTAATATTGTTTAAGCAGTATCAATTCGTGTTAATTCTGATTAGTTTAAAAAATAAACATTGCAATTTACAATTTTTATTGCAACGAATTGCAATACGGAATATGATGATATTTTGTTCTGTGGTGTCGTGCTTTTCTTTTAATGGTTGTTTTCATTAAGGGTCTGCGCGATTCGAGTTTGTTTTATTTTATCACTCTGTTATTTTTAATTATTTCGAATACAATTTAGATGGGTACAAGTCCTACAGCAAAACGGAATTCAAACTCAAACAAATCCGGATTTTTTCCATCGCGCATATCATTACTCGGGTCGATTTTATACAATTACGGTTTAAACGATATTACAACAATCCGACTTTAACGTGTTTAAAATATTATCTCTCGTGTTAAATCTTTGAGTATTAAAATTTTTTAAATTTGATTTACGTTTTATGACTGTAAACATTTATGCAATATTAAAAAAATATATATATATATATATATTTTATATTTTTAAGGGTGATCCTCCGGTTACATAATAATATAAGAACTATCGAAATCCCGCGAGTGAGTTTTTAATTTTATTATTAGAGATGTAGGGACTGGGTGATAGGTGAATTTTTGGAAATCGAAATATTTTTTTTAAGCAAATAAAAATTCGCTGCACATATTGAATTACGGAACGCCGGGGTAAAGTTTATAAACACGTATTATATTTCCTACTAGGAATCGATACAACGCCTGACTATTTGATTTGTATTTCAACGGAAATTGTCACATGTTTTAGTTTTGCTTTCAAAATAATACGCGTCAAAAAAAAAAAAAAAAATATATATATATATTAATATATCGAAATCAAAATTTCATAAAATAATGTTATTATTATAAAGTTCTGAATAAACTAACTTCTGTGGACCAAACTTGTGCAGCTCTCTCTCCGGTTTCTCTCGAAAAACTATTGACACGATCACTACGTAGTAATAATATAGATGAATAATACGAATAATAATCACGTGTCTTGTAGATTATTTTACCGCAATGATTTGAATATTTCTGACCTTTGTGCGTAACCGTGTTTTTAAATATACACCGTTAAAAATGATTAGGTGTCTAACTTGCTATTTATATCTATACATATATTTTATACACAGTGAATAATTTATTTGTTGTTTACAGTGCAGTCAACAATGTTTAATATTATGCTAATCAATTCACTTCAAGTATGAGTACAGACTACCAAGGAGGGAAACAAAAGGGTCGCGCATAAAAACTAATTTTACGATCCAATTCGTTTTTTCTCAAGAGTTCACTAAATTCAATTAAATCGTCACATTTAAAACAATTTTAAGGTGTATGAAATCGAAAAACTAAAATACATAACAAATTAAAATATTTATTAATATTTTAATTTTGTTTTGAAATTGGGTCTCGGGTTAGTTTGGCTTATTAGATCAACTTTGGAACTAGTTTTCAATACAAACAAATCAATTTTTGAATATACGTACACTTGTGTATAAACTATAATACACTGCGTAAACTAAAATATTGACATGTATGCAATTTAGACAGAAAAATAAAGAGGAAATAATTACATAAATAAAAATTATAAAAAAAATGTCGTAAATTGACTCAAGGCCTTTTTTTCCAGGACCAAATATGTATAATAGTCTATGTATTTTATTGTATTTATATAATTTCTTGTTTTAAAGCAAACGGTTTTTTTTCTTTTGTAGACGTGAATTAATATTTATAAATTTCACGTCGTGTATTTATCGCTCCAGTAATGTATGTGTATTATTTTATTAACGAAGCTTATAAATTTTAGTTAAGTACTTAACATAATTGTAAATATTTGTTATCGCTTAACTATTAAGCACAAAAACTTTTGATAATTATTAAAAAATATATATTCACCTGCACTGTGCATCACAAAATTCTGGAAGTCCTGTTTATGATGAAAACATTATTTTACACTACGTATAGTAAATATTTTATGTAAACGAACCGTAATTAAAATTATTATTATTTTATTCGGATCAGCGAGATGACTACATTATATTATTTTATGTATACAGTGTGGTCGTTTTATTCAAGTAACAATCAGTATATTTAGACTTGATGAATTTAGATTTATAATTTTAATATAAATATAAATGACAGTAGCTATTAAAATATCTTATTCGCATTTTTGGATAAAATTCAAATTTGTATCGCTTTTTTTGCGCTTATGTGCAATAGAATAGTTTAATTTTTTCGGTTTAATGGCACTCCCATTTGTTCTACATATGAATGAAAGAAATTTGCAAGCATTCATTTTCTTCTTATCAAGTTACAATTATTTAAAGTTTTAATTTTCTCATAAAGTTTTACTCACTCATGCGTCGTAACAAAATTTTTCTAAAAATCTACATTATAAAATGGCTATTTTTAATTTTTTTTTTTAAATTATAGTAAAATTTTAAAATTTCTATTTTAAGTTCCCGGTTTAAAAAAAAATAAATGTTTATAATATTAACTGAAACGCAAAGGAATACCGATTACATAAAAAAATATTGAATAGAACAAAAGTTATTTTAAGAGCAGATCATCGTGGAATACCCTATGTATATTATTATCGTTATAATTACATAAAATATAATGTCTATTCGAATCTGTGGGAAGAAATACTCGTGAGCAGTAGAGCTCTATCACCGAGTTGATTTTTCCCACAGCTTGTCTCCTTTACAATATTTTACTTTTTGTTTTTATATAGTTATGATCAAAAATTGTTTTGTTACAAAAGTTGTATTACATCTTAGCGTGCAGTGATATTTAAAACTCATTATTTCCCCTGAAAGCCAACAATTTCCGCAAAAAAAAAAATGGCGGGGGGAGGGGTTGAAAGTCAAAACCCCCGAAAAGAACACCTTCGATACTGTTAAACCGTGAATGTATACAATTCCACCATCCGTGCTTCATCAAGGCGGTCTGCAGGGGTGTATAAAGCTCTCTTACCGTAACACCGTGGTTAAATTCGATCATAATAAGTGCATAACTTCAATCCGCCTATAGAACAACTCCCGACTTTGATTGGGCCCCGGTGGACCAGTGAAAAAAAACGTCTAAAAAAGTGTGCAAAAGTAACGGGGAAAAGATAGGTTTCGTATGGTTAGTGGGAGTGTCCCTGTATTTAACGTTCCGAAACTCGAATTCCGAAATCGAAAATCGTCCTGCCGAAACGTTTACAGCGTGAAAAACAAACGATCGCGCCGCGCGTAGGTATTGTTATGCTACTGCTATTCCCGCGTGGTTGGCGGTCGGGGGCGGGTGGAGGTCGAGGAAAACAACGTCGTCTCCGAAATACATTTTTCTACGCTACTGAATAAAATTGTACGATTTTTTTTTTTTTTTTTTTTATATTTATCCGTGCGCAAGTGTAATTAGCGAAGGATAACGCCGTCATTAACGTCAAAATATAATACGCTTTTTCCGCCCGGGTCGATTCGAAAGAAAGCCGATTAAAAGTGTACGCATACGAGTAGGTATTTTTAGCCGCGCGCAACATATTGCGCGCGGGGCATTTGGCTCGTAACAACGATAATTAACAGCACGGCGATAATGCGTCTCCGTATGGACGTTTCATTAAAATAATAATTATTATGTGTGCGCCCGGTAATGCAGAAGAATAATAGGCAATAACAATATTACCGTGTGTGTGTGTCACCGTTGGTATTAACGAACGCTTGTTTTTAAACTGTTGCACGGTTGCGCATCATAATATTATTGTTATTATTATTATTATTATATTTTTCAAGTGCTCCATTTTATTCACGCAAGAAACGTGTGCGCGTGGGCGATAATTTCTTTATTCGCGCACGGTGTTATTTCGAACGCATTGACAACATATCATAATGCAATAGCGCTGCATTCAATATCGTTATAAACGACTATTGTAAACTCTGTGTACATAACGTTTACCCTCCGCAATTGTTCATCCTACAGGAAATTATCACCTAATTAGTCTGATAATAAACGCCGAGGTTTCCCCCCCCCCAAGACCACTTTTCCGATATTATACAGCCGTTACAGTTTTGTAAAGAGTTTGTATTATACCGCAGACAAAGCAAGCAAATATCAGTGGGTACTTCGAAAATAATACGCCGGATGATATATTATTATCGAGTGCGGTTATTAAAGAGCTTCGGCATTGAAGAGTCTTCCACTCGTATGCACGCGCATAATCAAAAGTTATACCTACGATGAATTTCCGCGTACAATAACACTAATCAACGATTGAAAATCAATCGAGACTTTTCGATAAGTAAATCGTGTAAAAAGACTGAAAAATCGTAACCGGACAATATTATAATTCCCTATACGTTATTTATTGGTGACGGTTTTTCAACATTTTCTCAAATTATTTTTACATTTTAACGACCACCTTAACAATACGATTTTTCCACTAATCTACTGTCCGATATTAATATGAGGGGAAAAGGTGGGTACGGCCGTTTACCGCTGAATATGAAGTTTTCGACCGAAAAGCGTGACAAAACTGTAGGAATTGTGTTTGATGGATTTTTATTTTCAAAACGTATTATTCTTTAAGTTCTTTATTTAGGGTACGTTAAAATTATTATTTTTTTTTTTTAAATTTTAATTCTCTTTATCATAAATAAAAGGCAACAGGTATACTTTGAGTATTGTTTTTGAACATTTTTTTTTTACAATTTCCATTAAAATAATTACATTTCTATTTCAAACGCATAGAAATCTAACGTTAGAATCTAAAAAATCATAATTCTTTTTCAAAATTCTAATTTGCTAAACACAATTTGTACAGTTTTTTCTGAATTTTAGGTTTGAATCGACTAAAATACGCACAATCATCATTACCCCTAAGAAGTTTATTATGTAATTATTTGTTACCTGACGAATAATAAATATAAAACAAAAACACGTGGATAATTTTTGTGCTCATACATATTTTACTGAAAAATTCGCATAACACTTTTTGTAAACATCGAAAAATTCCTAAAACTGAAAATTATATGAAATGAGAAGTATAGGTTAAGTATTTTACTTCATTCGTGCATATTATATAATATGTAGGCAATTCACGGAGTGAAGTTATTTATTAATATTATGTAACATGATCAGATTTTTTAATAATTCATTACATATAGCAATTCCGATGGTATATGGTATACCCCGGGGAATGTATATTGTTACGTTAGTTTAATCATATTTTAGATTCTGAGCGGAATGAGGAATGTACTGGTTTTACCACGGTGTGTGCTTTTTTCATCCGGTCTGTAAACAACTTTTCTACTAGAAATCTTACTCAAATCAAATGACGAAAAGAGACCTTTTTTGTTGCTTTTTTGATCTAATTGACAAGAAAAAAGTTTTATTTTTTTCATTTTTCTATGTATTTTTCATAATAATCAGACAGAACCGAGAAAAAACGGGAAGTTTACGGAAATAACGGTTTCATTATTTACAATACACAAATTGTTGTGATTCGGTTACAAATATTTGTGGAAACTTGAAATTTTCACAGAAAACTTACTGAATTTTTCTAGTTGTATTCAAATTTTAAAAACATTTTGACGATTTTTGAGCTTTTTTTTTTTCAAAGTTAAAACCAACAGTAGTGAGAGATTTGATTTCACAATCGATAATACTTCACCACTACTGTTATCGTATGTTATAAATTATAAGCAATATACATAAGTACATACTACACAGGAAAGACTCACATTGGTAATTTAAAATACAAAAACGATGATTTAACCAAGTACCATCACATAATTCTTTCAGCATTCTTTAGTTCTCTTTCATATTCCCCTTACTGCTTTTAACTTCTTTCCTAATGCCCCAATGATCCGTATACCCTGATCGACTGAGACTGAGTCAAGGTCCTTGACCCCTCTTTCTCTTTACATAAGTCCTATCTATACTATCAGTGTTGTAATTGTGATAATGTATGTATAGTACGTTAAGTTAATTGATTAATTACCTTGTAATTGGACTTATCCGTATTTAAATAAAATAAAATAATAGCTTAAATTAACATTATTACTAATCAAAATCAATGTCTTCTTGACCTGGTTTATAAGCCCGTCAGTCCGAATGCTCGTGTTGTACTTATTGTGGTGCAGAAATTTAACGTCCACCGACCTGGCTGGTAGCTGGAACCTTGAGCGACAGTTTAGCTATTTACAGGCGTTTTACATTTTCTAGTTTTCAGTTTATATTTGGTAGGTACTACGTAGATACAATTGTTTTATCTAACAGAAATGTTAGAAAATTGAAGAGAATTGGTGGATTGTTGGCGGGTTTTGTGTTAAATAGTACAAGACTATAAGTTAATGAAGACTGAAGCCAAACAGAAGAAAAAAATGAAACATAATACTTATGATATATAGTTTAGATGAGACGAATAAACCTAAGAAACGAGGATTTAACACGCTCGCGGAGTCTTCCTCTCTTATTTGTATTTTTATTGGTCTATAAATTAAAAGCCAGAATCGGGAGAAATATAGGGAAGTACAGTGTTGGCGGCGAAAACTCTGTAGAGAATTATAAGAGCCGGAGCAGAAGGAGAAGAAGATAAATTAAAAGTATCAAAGTTTCCCCCTCCCCCGACAAATTAACAACACTATGCAAAATAATATATTCATGGATTACTACACATAATAATATTATTATGCACACGTGCATCAAGATTTTATTCCCGGATTTTGTTTTTGTTTATTTTAATTAATTTCCCCTTGGATTTTAATAATTATTATTACGCTCAGCCCTACAAGTAATAATTGTATTCGTCTTTATATCCTTATCCTATTTCTTGAAAACGTTGAGGGAGTCTGATGTTTTTTGATAATTGTTTTGTAGATACTGTATATAAGTCGTGAAAACGTGCTCAATCGTCGAGTTTACTCTGCTGGGTGTAATTTCGTGGCGTTCTTCTTTTGATAATAATAATATAGTATAAATACGCGTAAGTTCATAATTTCACAAAGTACACTCGTATTATTAAAAGCAAATAAATATTTGATAAAATTCAATAAGCCAGTTAATAATTTTAGGCCCAGTTCACACAATGATAGTTACTATCGTGATTGTTTTTGTTTCAACTATCGCGATGGTAGATATCTTGAAGAAATTGTCGCTGTACAATGATGATATAGTAAAAGACAAGGTAGTATGAATGTCGATAGAAACGTCTTTGAAAATGCGAGTGTAGATGAGTTATCATAGGGTGATATAGTTGCGTATACATGACTTTTTTCAAAGGGAAGAATCAAAAAGGTGATTCTTAAGTGGGAAAGTGGGGGTGGTAACCTTTTCCTTCCAAGGACCAATCTTCATATTAAATTCAACGTAAACAAAGGGGAAACATCGATATTAAATTTTTGTGATATTTAAAAAAAGCGATGGGGACGGGTAAGTTATCAAACCCCCATACTACCGCCGTGTATTCGCCCCTGCACAATGGTAGTTACCATTGTTATTACAATCTCACGAAAATACCTATAAACTATTATTTTTGCATGATAGTTGCTTTTACGATATTTACCCACTATCACATTGTTCACACATGATCCGGTGAAGATAGTGTAACTTTTATCGCCAGGACGTTCTCTCATTTTTCCAAACTTTCACATTATTTTACAATATAGGTAGTTATAAATTTGGAAAAAATTAACGAAAATCTAGTGGCTGACAACGACGGCGACTTTGAAATGTTGTATTTATACATTTATTTAATAATTAATCTCAATTGCTCTTGTTTATAAAGTGGATCCTAATTATATTTTGTAACTTATAAATTCAACAACAATTTCGAACAATAATATTATAAAGTACACTTGAAATATTCTCGAAGTTTCATTATTTAAACTCAAGGATCGACTATAACTATAGCCGTAATAATAATCGTATAATAATAATTCATTATAATTACTATTATTGCCACTCGGGTATTCGCAGAAATGCATTTTTAATCGATTGCCGGTGTTTTGGCATTGTTCGTCAAAACGGCATTCTCAAAATGTCGTGTTTTTGGCAACAATATGAATTTATGCAAAGGCTTATTAATTTGATTGTATTTCGTCGTGATCCTATTTTTTTTTCTCATACAAATAGTATATTTTGCAGTATGGTGCTGCTTAAACAATGGAGTCGATTGCTGGGCCATGGACATTTACGGCGAACATCATGCATCGCATTGACTAACGTGCCGGGTCAACCGATTAGACGGCAGACCGAATCTAAGGTGGTCCATTCACCGTTTCCTGACGTGGAAATACCGTCGAGTTTACTGCACGAAGGTGTGTGGAGCAATTTGGAAAAATGGCCCGACAAGGATGCGCTGGTAAGTCACAGATAATAACTATAGGTCAACTACAGTTAACCCAACCTAACCTAACTATAGATAGTATCTATATTACTAGCTGTGATAATACAATGTTAAATGTATAATTTTATAATATATTAAATTTGAATAAACCGTAATCGAGAGGGTGTTATCACTGGATGGCCTCCCTTATTTGTTATTCACGTGTTTGTAAATTATTTTCTTATTGTGCATGCAGCATAAATTCTCAATTTTCTTAATAAATAAAAAAAATCATAATTATATACTTATAATGCTGGTGTAATAACGAAAATTGACCCCTTTCATATTTGACGTCTTGTTTTTCTCTAAAATTTCCCAAGTGAAAATTTTCTGGGGGAGGGGGTGTAAATTTACTGGTGAAATTTGATTTAGAAACCGAATATCATGGAAAAAAATGTTCGTGATTATGTTAGTCATTTTTTTTAAAAAATAACTTTAAAAAAAAAAAATCATAAATCGTACGAAAATTAATTATTGAATATGCAATTATAACGACTATTTCGCGTGAGTCGTCAATAAAAACAACAAACTCTACGAATATTTATTTTTTTCTGTATCGCGTGAGAATTATTTTCTGACAAGCAGAAGTATGTCAAGTCCTATATATAATAAATTCCCATTGACATTAGAAACGCTATGTACCCGTAATAATATTATTATTTCGGTAAATAACATTTTCTTTTTTTTAATATAACATTAATAATTATTACATTACAATTTAAAACGAAACATATAACGTAACTTGAAAATATTTCTTCGAGGTGACCTCTCTAACTTAAAACTTCTACTTTTCAGGCTTTCATTTAATCTTCCTCGAAGTCCACGAAGTATATGCCCCTATAAAGAAAAGTATATAGATACTTATGATTGTATTTTGTTTTGTAATTCTTCGACATCCAGAGGTTTTCAGTGTACGTAAACTTAACTTTTTAAGTGCCTTCCCCCCCACAAGAAAAAGCCACAAGCTGCCAAATCTATGATGTTGAGAGAAAGATAGAGAGAGAGAGAGAGAGAGAGAGAGAGAGAAAGAGAGATCGAAGTGTGGGCCAACGGGGAATATCGCCGTTTTTGGAAATAATGCGATTATACCAAAAACCTGCCGAACTTCATCGATACTCTCTGGTCGTGCGCAAGATTATGTGGCTGCACAATACGTATATTGTTTAAACCAAAAGTTTTATTCTTGAGAAAACTTTATGTTAGTTCGCCAGAACGAAAATGTGTGATCATGACGTTATTATAGACATCATAAGAAGTTAAGGTTATAACATGATTATTATTGCCCGTCAATGTTTTCGTCTTCAAAAAGAAAATTAAATTAAAATAATGTTCCAATAAATTCCTTTGATACAAAATAGGATACATCAAAATTTGAAAAGGAAAAGTTATAGAGTTAATTGAATTTTAAAAAAAAAAAAACAATTTTTAAATTGCTTATAGTATAACTACTTATATTATTGTACCCATTTTTGAACATTAGTTAATATGGATTTATATTTAATAAATTATGTACTCATATTTAAATTAGAAATGATAATAATATATTATAATTGTTCCGCATAGTATTGACCGCGTCATAATTAAACGAAAAAATATGTCTCAAAAATTTTAACAATTTTACGAAGTCTCCTCCCGCGTTATATTTTTGTTTCAAAAATAGGATAATTAAAATAATATTATTAGTTTCTCGAAGTTTTTTTATTAATTTATGAGGGTTGGTGGTATATTTTCTTTGGACAAATTTTAGTTAAAGAGTTTATCAGTGAAACTGTAGTGTATAGTTCACATCACATCTCAATACGATGTACCTAATGGTCGGTTTTGTAGAATACGTGTATGCAAAGATCTCATAAGTGAATTCGGAAAAACGTCGAATAATCAAAAATGGTCTCGAATATCGATGTCCCAGATAACTTTTGAACGGCACGTAGCTGGGTGCAGAAGAAAAGTGGAGATGTATTTACCTACCTACATTATAATAAAGTAATAACTTTTTCGGTCATATCAAAATGCGACAGAATCGGATAAACGGACGTAGTAGCATATTTAAGAGAGAGATTAGGGATGAGATATACCTTCCCCTTGACCTTTTTTTTTTAGTGTACATACATTTATATGACTTTCTTTTGTTATTTTTTAGACAGGAAAATAAATAATGTGTTGGTACCTAGTTAATATGTCAAAAAAACATGAATGCGTATTTTTTGTTTTTCTATATCCTGAACATTATAATACAAAGGAAGTTAGTTTAGTATTAGTAGGTAAATGTTAAACAAACTAATAATAATTACTAATACTGATTACGGTTATTTGATTTTAGTGATTATTTTCGGGTAGATTGAATTATGAATTAGATACTAAAATACACTAACTGATTTATTTTTAACTGATGTTCACGATGCAATATCTTATAAAATATGACACAATTAGCAAATTCAATATTTACCTCCTTGGAAAAAACCTAAATATGCCATGTAATTGACATACTCAAAATACGCGTGTATATGCAGGTCCATTACTGAAATCCGAACAAAATACATATCTACATTTTAGATTCTGAGCGAACGAGAGAGCTATTGGTTTTACAATGATATTTATTTCTTTTTTCTTTTTTTTCTTCTAGTTTGTGAACACGATTTTTCCTAATAAACTCGCTCCAATTTGTACGTGTAGCAACTCTCCTGAAAGTTCAAGTTATCTAAATGGTAGAGAGGTTACTGTTTTGATTATCGACGCCGTTTTTTGAATAAAAGAACTTAAGTGGAGAAAACGTGGGAAAACGTACAGTTTCACGATTTCATTATTTAATAAAAATAATGGACGACGTTTTCCACCAGAAAAAATAATTTAATCGAAAAACTACAAGATACCTTTTTCGTTGCCTTTTTGATTTACTTTTACGACAACAAATCTAAATGTACACATAAGTACAGACCATGTTCGGTAGATTATTTAGTAAACTTCGGAGTTTTTGTTTTATATTCTAAGTGGAGCGAGTAATGTATTGGTTTTACAATATTATTTTTTTTTTTTTAAACAACATTTTACTATAAATTTTGCTTCGATTTTTAAGTATTGCACTTTTTTTGAAAGGAAATTATACTGGAAACTGGAATAGTACTTCAAGGATGTAATTTTTTTTTTATTTCTCCAGAAGGTTTTATACTAAATGGGAAAAAACTGTTGAATAGGCGGGAATATTTACAAAATGTATTATTTTCAAATCGTAAATATTACCGTTTTTCAAAATATTTATAAACGAACTCTGCTCAGAATTATTTATCGTTAAAATAATTAATTATTGCGTACAGATACACATTAAATTTCTGTTCTTCCTTCTCAACCTCTCGCTGACAACAGTGGCACATCCTTCGTGCGAAGTGTATTTTTTAAATCCTGGAAAATATCAAAATAACGTCGAATACCTACGTAAATTCTTCGATTGATTTTTTTTCTTCACACCAAACGATAGGGAAGGGGGCTGCGTAAAGTTGGCCCCCTTTCTTGTTTTTTTATATCTGGCTGGGAAATGATTTACAAATTCTGAAAACCTTATTGCAAAATTTTGATACCATTTTCTAATTAGTTGGTCATGGAAGGACAACTTTACATACATTTAATTTTACTTTAGATAACGTAGCTATACATACACAACATATACGTCATACACTATTTGATAATCCGCACGGTCACGGAGTTTACAGAATATCATTTATGCATTATTTGTTCTAATAAAAGGAAGGAAAGAAAAGGTAAAAATAAATTGCACGTGTGTGCATAATACTAATGATTTCTACGGAAGGGAGTTGATTTAAAAAATTTCTTTTTTTTTTTCAATTATTTTATCAGATACTATAAATTACTCATACAATACACTACACTCAATTAACTTGTTGCGGGCGTTTTTTTAAACTTAAGTACAAGTAACTTATAACCGAAGTCAAAAATATTGAATACGTTGATTTTGTGTAAGTATAATTTTTTGTGATAAATATTCAAATACTTTTAATTGAATATTTTAAAATACCTACTGACCTGAGGATGCTCGTAGTTAACGGTGTTAAGACTTGTCTGAAAAGGTGTTTTCGGCGGCCGGTATATATACCCTGGACCCCTCCAGCTAGATATGCTTAGTCCGCGCTTTTCGATAATAACATGTTGTTGAATAATTGGATAACCTCACGCATTTGGCCCCTAATATCCGGGTTTTGTTAAATGCGCACAAAAGGTGTTCGATCAGCTATTGACGTCCGTGTTATATTAATATTCCGAATATTCAAATCTACAATTCTTACCATAGACGTTCGCATTGCGGCGTGGTAAATTACCTATTATTGTGCTGCAGTAAATCCCATACTTTATGCTACATAATATAATATATTATCAGGGAGTGAAACGACGCCTGTAACAGACTCATATAGATCGCGGTTATAGTGCTACAATAACCTATCGGTTTTCTATAGTCACTACTTATGGATAACAGTTTTTCAATAATATTATAGGCATGTGATGATACAAAATCCTAATTGAAATTGAAATTTTAGTTAATTTATTAATGTACAATAGTCGATAATAATTATTCACTTTCACTTTAACTACAGTTATATTTTGTATTAAATATTCATAATTAGACATCTTATAAAGTCAACCACAACTTTTTTTGGGGGACAACTTTTTAGGTTTGATTATCGAGTATTATTAACTATAGTATTTGTTTTTGCTTGAAAATGTTATTATAAAAATTATACATCTTGCGCAATCAAAGGGGTGGACTTCTGGTCCGAATCTCCCTCCCCCTAGATACATTTACATGTTATTTAATATGTTGATCTTAATATTTCGTTTATTGTTTATAAATTGTAATATCAAAGATTTAAAACATATCATAGAAATACAAACTCGGGAAATTATATGGATTAGCTCTCCTCGATATATACAGAGATGTGTCTGTTACGGTTAATAAAGTTATTATTATTATTATTATTACTTTTATGTACATATATCTTTTTTGAATCATTAACATAGTTTTTTTTTTTTGTTTGTTAGAATAAGTTACGGTATTTCACTTTATTATTATGAAAATTACATTATAGGCATATATAACTTAAAAATGCGTATTTCGTTGCACAATGAAATTAATTATTATGTTTGGACCCCCGCCCTCTTTGATAAATCCTTTGATAAAGCCACTACCGCGCTAAATGTTCAGTTAAAAGCAAAAAAACCGATACTGTTCTTGAAAAAAAATCTGTAAAAGATGATGTATAGTATAATTTAATTTATATTTATAGGTACGTAACGAAAAACAATGCTGAATAAGTAGTGTACTATTAGTTGTATGTTTTCCCTGGTTGTTGAGGTAACCTAGTAATCGAGCAAAATTATAGAAACAATTGCCAGTTTTACCCATTTATTAAGAAAACTACAAGAGTGTTACAAAACGTTAGAAAAAATGTTACAAGAAATTCCTATGACGGTTTTAATTGGAGCAAGTCTTCTGATAGAAAAGTTGTACACAACACATCATAGTATAACCAATACGTATATTTACTGTTTCACTCAGAATCTATCACACAGGTACGCAACAAATGTATAGAATAAGTAATTTTATAATTGAAGAACCGTGTATCTCCATATAATACAATTTTTCAGGAGACATAAACTATTGTAGATACTCGGTTATTGCATCGAACTGTGTATTCCGGACATCTTTACTTGTACGACATTATCTTATCTAACGGACAGATATTATACTCGGTTTTAGTGCACCGAACCGTAAACACCATTTATTATTCTTCATGAGAAAATGTAAAACATTCTAAAGTATTTAGAGATACTCGGTGTTACACCATACGATTATAAAATATTAGATTCGTACCATAAGTGCCGCGAAGTTATAATTAAGTATTGTTAGCATATTAGGTTTATTAAAAACTATTAATATACGACGACAATAATAGACGTCACACCGAGTGTTTAAATTAATCGTAGATAACAATATAACCAACCAATAAATTTATAAAATGCTTTTAAGCGTTTTTTCAACAATATCATAATATAAATATGCCAATAAAATTGTTATTAATCTATAAATGAATGCCGAATAGATCTCTCGCAATTTCTCTATTTGCTGTCACCTGTAAGTACTTTAAAATACCCTCGCTTAATACACTATACGTTAGGTAACATAAAGATTCGATTAAAAAACGATTTTATAATACTGAAAACGTATTATGCGAATATTAATAAAGTGTGACGTTGTAAGAACACTGATGAGATTATTATTTTTTCAGTCAAGTTTACGCGAATCAGACGAAAGACTTCTTTTAAAAACGATCCTTTAAAGATAGAATCTATTTCAAAATATTTCTATGATATATGATAGATATATGATATAGATAATATTATTTCTATATAAATCTAATATGATTTTTATTTTTTCATTTGTATAAATGTCGATCAGGAAAATGTCCTATAAATACAGAGATTAAAATAAAAAAAAAAAAAAAAAAAATCAAAATCCATTTTTGCATTATTTTATGATATCGTTCTAATACGATAATATTGTAAGTATAGTAGATGCAATTCGCATAAGACGTTCTTTCTGGATTTATTATATTAATCCTCGGTCTATTCGATTGTAGATGGTTCATATCTAAAAATAACTTTGACGCTTTGATAAATATTATAATACTGTACTATTTGTATTTTGTATTACTATTTGTAACGGTATAGTATATTATACAATCGATACTTTGAACGATAACCACCTCATTATTTTCTAGTATTTTTGAAGCAAAATGTATAATTTGCGCGTCGTTAAATACAATATTAGTAAGTATTGTGATGATATAACATGGGACTAAATTGTTATATTTGTAAAAATGTGTTTGAAAGCTAAATGTCAATATTTCGCTCCGTTTGTCCATACCGAAAATCGTTTAAATCGCCCATCTATGCGATTCCTTAAATATTGTTTATTAGCTTTATCATCAACACGTAACGGTAAACATTTTACCGTGTGTATTTTTTCGACGTTATATTGTTTTGTCAAAGCAAAATATTTACACGCGTACATATGTATTTTATATAAGAGTATAATATCAGAAATGTCCCAATTTAAAAATGTTAGTATCGAAATACCGAGAAAAAGCCGGTTTACAAACGTACGTTTGTGTTTTTACGCATACAACGCATGTGGTAACGACTTTCCAATTGAGTTCATTGATCTCGGGTTAATTCGCCGAAATCGAGAGTAAAACCAACAGCACAACTGTATCCGCACGGAACGCAAGTCGGTATGTTGTGACATTTTTGTATTATGGAACCGTCACTATGCATATTATGCGGGTGTAACGTCTTCTTAACACTTTGTTGTAAGTAAGATAGATGTGTTAATATGCCCTAAAATCTTTAAACATATATGCAGTTATGCAATAAAAATACACAAACGAACGGACATACTTCGCACCACGGGTGGGCCACTGTTGTATGTGAGAAGTCGGAAAGGTACGATATAGAGGGGAATTCAATTTATATCCGTACGCAACAGTTAATCATTGCTAACTTGCTAACGCAAAACGATTCTGAGCAACGCTAGGTCAATAATATTGTTTTTTCAACAATATGCGTTTTCACGAAAACAACGAGTGCTAAGAAAAAAAAAAAGAATAAATAAAAAGATTAAAATAATAAAATCCTAAAAATAAAGAAAATAAATAAAAACGGTTACCGGTGACGACCTTACTTTAAATTTAAAATACCCACTATTATAGCCAAAATGCAACAAAACAGTTTTTTTGTTATGTTTTGACTGGAGCAAAATATGTAGGAGAAATTTTGTACACAATATATATATATATATATATATAAAAAAGATAAACGTTATTTTAAAACAATACATTCTTCGCTTCGCTCAGAATCTAAAACATGTCCGTTAAATATGCTTGAAAAAAAAAAAATAATAATAATGTTAAATATGTTTTTAAAATGTACACAGTTCTTAAAATACGCCCTTAATATCCAAAAACTACGGCATAACCGTAGAAATACGCAATGCGAAATTGTGTTATGTGGTGTGAAACGCCAAAAATTTCTTTGACTATTCGATGACATTTTACGAAAGAGTGGTGATTGTTAACAAACATTCTAATATTTGTTTTTTCTGTAGACACCTTAAAATAAGAATGGAATAAAATACTGTAGAATGTTTTATTTAATGCAACAATAACGGACGGGAGACGTTTTGAATTATAGATAATTAATATTTCTGGAATATTCGTCGAAGCGTGTGCATTATAATATTATAATTTCGCCAGGTTTCGTCATCGGTATGAATAATAATAATATCCGTATATAATAGAATGTACTCGACACAATCGGAGAGCCGCGTAATTCTCGCCGTGGACGTCATTCGCCGCGTGCTCGTTTAATTACGAACCTACTACGACTATACTCACCCACAGCTATGTGTGCGTACCTACTAGTTCTTATGTATACATTATTATTACACATGTATAGAGAGAACAAGTGGAAATCATTATAATATTATGTTCTCGTTATACGAGCTCATATACTCCCGTTGAAATATTTACACAGAGAACACGAATATCGCGTGCGTGTATTTTTTTTTTTTTTTTTTTCGCTGACCTCGTTGAAATTACCGTAATAACGTTCTCGAAAAATAAATTACGCGTTTGTACCGGCAAAATCCGACTATGTCATTATAAACGTAATATTATTATTGTTATTAGGATTCTGCGAGCAAACACAATTAACATGCGTCGAAAATTTCCGGTGTTATTATATACGTATAATTTTCGAGTTGATAAAATATAAAATACTTTATTGCTATTATTATTATTATTATTATTTAAATTAGTCGTTGTAATTGCATTTTTTCCAATAACTGCACGGATACATAATTGGCCACAATATCGGGCCTAAAATTTAAATTTGTTTTAAATTATTATTATTATAATTATATTATGAAAATCTACTTTAGAAATATCGTCCGGTCACCTTTTCAATTTGTTCTACATAAAGGATGCCTATACGGTTCATGGCCTTTTTCCTGAATAGGTAATGATTTGTTCATTATGAAGGAATGCTGTTTTTCTTGAACGTTACATTCCCCTAATAGAATTTCAAGTTTCGAAAGTTAATTAAAATTACACAATTTATTACTATTTTCAAAACGATACAGTGGCACGAGTCCAAGTATGGAATCCGAGTTGAAGACTGCGTAATCACACAGTAATTAATAACATAATATCTGAGTCGTATAAGTCTTTAGAAATCTAACCGCTTTATTTTTGGCTGAGAACTTTGGAAAATATACGGTTTAGGAAAAAAGGCTGTTGAGAAATTTCATTCGGAAAAAATACCGGAAATCGGGATATACAGTAGTATTTACCTTTATTAGCTGACGGTATAACATCCGTTAAAATTGAATGCAATTATTTTGAATTTTTTTTTTTTTTTTATTGCTCTTAAAGAACACGAAGAACAAATTAAAAATAATATTTTCAAAGTCAAATTTAAATCTTCATAGTGTTTTCAATAAATTTTTTTAAACGGACATCGAAAACGTTAAATATTTATATATTTCCTTTCTTTTTTTATAATTAATTTTGTTTGAATACTTTGTATGGGAATAGAACAATTTTAAGGTTTGAATATATTTACAGTATTGATTACAGTACTTATCTTTATAATATTTGATCACTTTATTTCATACATATTTAGTATTAGTACATATTTTTAAGTGCGTGACAATATTCAATTTTAACCAATTTTAATTGTTATGCTTAGGTTAGCTACCTTAGGTTCGGTAGGTACTTATTATTGATTTTGCAATTGCACCTTCTTCGGTTGATGTATTCATGAAAGTATTCCATGCACTTTGTATGTAGTGTTCTCATTTGAAGTAAAATTGTTGAATACAATTTTGTTCGTACGTTTTATTACTCAATTGAAAAAAAAAAATTACATTTTAAACTAGCAGTTTGTTTTATAATATTAATACAAGTTTTTAGTAAAACAATAGTTTAAATTGCACGCTGTTTACAAGTGCAAAAAAATGATTACACTAAATTTACATTTTGAACAATTTTCATTTACGAGTGAGGTGGATCGTATAATCTCGCTTCGGAGAAGATTTAAAACAAAAAAAATTAATGCTTTTTTAAATTCAATACAATAATATTTTTGACTCGTGTAATATTGACACGGAGTAATCTGATCGGCACAATAATACAATTATCCCCAATAATAAATATTGTTCGCAGAGAACTTAAAACGACACATACATATTAATATCGACGATTCGATTTTTTTTTAATTAAAATTATTTATGCCATAAAGAAAAGTATCAACGTTTAATCGCCTATAATGAAGTATAGTTAAAAAATAATAATAATAAAATAAATCAAGAATAAGTTTCAACGCCTGTCGGTGCAGGGCTCTAATAACGTGATATACGTGTTTATATATTATAACGATTCAATAAATTTAATTTGATTTATGTTTATGAATAATTATTATTTATTTTATGAGTTCATGTAATAATGATGACTGTTGTATAGACACCATTCTTTTATTTCTCGTTTTTTTTTTTTTTTTTCAACAATTAACATTGTATTACCTCAAGTAACTATGTACCTTCTGTACATAGCTTCTACAGCTTCTGTATGATCCAAACTAGTTGAATTATACGGTAAATAACGAATGAGATACAACACAGAGTGAATATATCGCAAACGTGCGTGTTAAGTATTAATAAAACTCGTATAATATATTCGCGTCGTTCCAACTCCTGTATGCACATTATGCCCCTTAACGGGTTTCGTTTAGGCAAATTGTCGGCGTTTGAAAAAAATCGATTTTAAAAATATTTAAATTCATTTTCAATTATTCACTTCACGACTATTTATTGCTTAATCTCGAAACCAACTAAAATGATTACTAAAAACTGTTTTACGGAGGCAATACTTTTCGGAAATTTAGTTAAGAAACTAAATTTTCACCGTAAAACAAAATAAGTTTAAACGAACATCGAGGAAGCATAATATAGTGGTTTCCTGTGATAGGAGCGGGGATGAAAACGGAGATACACGTTGAGTTAAATTTCTTTTATTGATATCGGTTTTTAGAGGGGTTTGTTTTTAAAAAACTGCTTTACATGGCCAAAACAACAACAACAACAACAACAACAAAAGATTCATCTAAATCGTCACGGTCAACACCTGGCGAGATATCTAATTTAGGTATATATATATGTCGTTTCCACTTGATGAAAATGTATCCAGTTCATGAAACGTATACAGATTTTTTTCCATTTAGTAAAATAAATACAAATTTCATGAAGTGGATATCTTTTCACGAAATGGATACTAAAATTTCATATCGTGTAATTTTTTCATCAAATGACCATCCACTTGGTGAAACAAAATATTATATACATTTAATTCAAATTATACTGTTATTGGTTTAATTTTTATAGGTCTGTGGATTTACCAACAGAAAATTTACGTATCACGAGGCGAGATTAGCATCGGAGAGGTTTGCGGCCAATCTCAGGAAAAGAGGTGCCACGCCGGGTCAGGTTATAGCGATTCTATTGCCCAATATTCCCGAATTCGTGCTGTCGGCGTTGGGTGCCATTGAAGCAGGGCTGACCATTACTACGATCAATCCGATTTACACACCGTGTACGTAATGATCCTTCGTTTATGAAAACTAATAACATATATTTAAACAATTTAAACAATTTTATTGGGAAAATTCGTTACACGGCAACAAACTTCTTCACAATTTTCGATTAAGACTAGGTTTTTACTCAATATAATAATTTATGTATTCTATATATGGTTCGTGTAATCGCTTAGTAATCATGCGAGCATTTCAATGTGGATTTTTGTGATAACTACCTGGAGTGTCGGTAGTCGATATAATGAAAATATGGAATCCAATGCGCTAACAACAATAATGATAAGAATGAAATATAAATCCCATATTAATAACTTCTGTATTATTATAGTCCATGCCGTATTTTTGAAGTAGGCAACCCCATATGTATGTGAGAGACTAAATAAATGGTTTCTAAATTTTTTACACGGTTATCCCGTATTATCCATATTATTTAATCTAATTTTATATGATATTAATTTATATTATTAATTTTATATAATATTTTATTTTCGGGCCTTGTTTAGTCCTACGGTTTTTCATTCCATATCCACGGCAAGGCCGATTTTTCTCAATTATCAGTGTTATCGTTAGGGCTCGGTAGTAGGAGGTAAATTTGGCAAAATATGCATACAAAATACTTTGTACCACGGGTGGGCCACTGTTGTAGGAAAGTAGGATATAGAGGCGAATTTAATGTACATACGAGTATATCTATAAGCAAAGATTAATTATCAGTAACGAAAAACGGAGCTCGGTTAATATTATTGATTTTTCAATAATCTATATGTCATTATATTGTATAATATATCATCCAAGTGCACTAAAATGCATTTGTTTTTTTCCTGTTATCGTTGAAAAAAAAAATTCAAAACTCGAGTTAGCATTTGCGATACATAGTTATAATCGAAAAACGATCACTAACTAGATTAAAAAAATATAAAAATTTGTTTGTAGAAATCATAAAGCAAAACAGTTTTAAATAATAAAATCGTAACGCCATAAATTTGTCATTTTCCATTTTACTTTTTTTCCTAGTTTTTACCAATTATTATGAAAATCAAAAAATGACTTCCTCAATAATATAAATAAAATAAAATTTAATTTCAAAAAAGGCGGTAAACTTGATACATTAGACCAAGATTTCAACCAAGTTGTTGAAAAGACACACTCATAGAAAAACTAATAGATCCCTCGCTACGCTCTTTAGCAAAAAACAAAAATTTATTCACGATGCCAATAAATAGCTAAATAAATACGTTAAATAATATTGAATTTTATATAAATTATATAATAGAAAATACATAGGTAAAAATTTAAAAAAAAATTAAATATTCAAATATACAACACGTAAGTACGTATGAAAAATCAATAAAATATATACACTTTTATTCTAAAATTGACGAAATATTCAAAATATGCATTTTAAATATCTGATTTTTAAACTCTCTATTGTATAGAACAGATTTCTAGGTTGTCCTGCTATAAATCCAGAGCTTATAGAACATTATTCTATAACTCCCGAGCCCTAGTTATCGCTATACAATTGCGCTGTCGTCTTGTCAGACATGGATGTATAATGCGCATTTCAGCGTTAGACGTCTATGTCTTATGAAAACTTTACCGCGGTAGTTTAAAATTCCAAAGAAAAATTATAAGTCAACAGGACAGTTTCTGTATTGTGACATGTCTTATATAAGAACAAAAACAAAAAAATACACTTTCTTTTGTCGTTATTTTTTCTACTTTTGTTTTGTTTTTTAAGAGTTAATTTTAAGTAGTTGCATTATTATTACTCCTGTTCTACGTCTTGTTTATTTTCTTCTGCAGTTGTATTTACTTTCTACATATTTCTGTACATTTTTCATCTTTACATGTTTCATCTTTTCTAAACACACATAATTTTTGTTTTTATGTTGTTTTTTTTTTTTTTTTTAAGTTTACGCGACCTATTCCAATATTAAATTAAAAAGGTTATTGAAATATCTAAATGAATACAGAAATACATAAATAAATTCACACACAGAATAATTTTTCAACACCGATATATAAGATTATAACACCTAACCAAGGTGCCTATGTATATTATTTTGTAATGGAATTTCAGATGAAATCGCTCATCAATTGAGCGATTCTGGCGCTTCCGGAATAGTGACGGTTCCTGAACTATTACCCAAAGTTATCGAGGCTTATAAATTGGCCAAAGACGCTGGAAAGAAATCGAAGTTCATTGTGTGCGTCAACCTAGACGGTTCCAAGCAGAATGGCACGTGGGATTTTAACGAAATGATCGACCAGTCCGTTGACACTTCGATACTGAAATCTAGCAGCAGATCTAACAGTGACATAGTTTTAATACCTTATTCGAGCGGCACTACCGGATTGTCCAAAGGTGTGACTCTGTCACATATGAATATTTTGGCTAATATTGCTCAGATGAACTGTCCGGAAATCAGGCACATAGAAGAAGCGACAGGTATAATAATAATAATTGGATTGTAATATCATCGACCAGGGTCCCGATTTAAATACCCTAAAGGCTTAAAAACCATCGAAAAACGATCTAAAAAATATTTTAAATTCAAATGTCCGCTATTTATTTTGTCGGCATTTTAAGTTTAAGTTTAAATTTATGATAAGGTTTGTTAAAGACACGGACAATTGTAATTTATGTACAAATATTAGTAAAATTGTTTAATTAAAATTAATTAAAAAACTTCCAACAAAATCGTTCTTCGTTCTCAATGGGTTTTCGTTACATAAACTAAATCATTCAATAAGCACTTTATATACTTTCTGCCTATAATATTGGCCAAGCAGTATAGCGCAATGTTTATCTGGATTTTTTTCTTGTCAATTTAAAATTTTTTTTTGTTTTCAAACAAAAAACGGGTTTCAACCCGTTGACAAAGAATTAATGGATCATGAAAAATATACAAGTAAATATCTTAAAAACAATGAATATTAGTGTTGCTAGGTTGACATATTTACAAAATTACAAATTAATTATTAACAAATTTCTTCGAAATCAAAACTGCCAGTAAAAAAAAAAAAAAAAAACGTACCGTATTTTATCTGATGAACTCGTACGTGTTGAATTATCAACACCCAGCTTAATTAATAATTGACCAACTATACCTATATAGTTGTATATATATGCTACAATCTTACATAAGTATACCGACAAACCGGCCACGTCCTGATTATATTAGAATAGAATAGATTGCGAACGCGTCTCGTCAACGATTTCGCAAAATTTCGAAGTACTAACAACTTCGTTATGTAAATTTAATTTACTTTTTAGCGAATCATCAAGACGTATTGCCTGCTATTTTACCTTTTTACCATATTTATGGTTTTACGGTAGTGCTGATGACCGGATTGATCAGAGGATGTAAAATGGTGTCGTTGCCCAAACTCGAATCTGAAATCTTTTTGAATGTACTGAAAGAGCACAAGGTATAACGAATGTACTGTTCTCCGTTAGTATACCGGAAGTTTTGAATTAATTTTTATTATGTTATTGTATACTTTAGGCAACTATATTGTACGCGGTACCTCCAGTTGTGTTGTTACTAGGACAAAATAAAAATGTAACCGAGGAACACTTTCAGAATTTAAGAACTATTTGTAACGGCGCTGGCCCAGTGAAAGAAGCAGATGCCGAAAGAATACTCGTCAGAACCAAAAACAAAAATTTACGTTTTTGTCAAGGTAAAACTTTATTTTTGTCCAATTGAATTTAGAGTGCTTTTTATACAATAAACCGTAAAAGAAAACCAAAACAAAACAAGAAATTAAAAAAATTAAAAGGAAACAAAGTTAATACATTTTTTTTAGTCGTTTCAAATTCCGTTGTATAATGTATTAAGTTTACAAAATAATATTATGAAATAAGTAAAATAATTTAAGAAAATTGAACACATCAGATGAATACGTCAGGTTATACTCTATAATTGTTATAAGTACTGATTATTTAACAAATAAATATAATTTTAATTATTTTATTTAATGATTATAATAATACGATTATTATGTATTATTATTATTACCTATATCTTTAACCAATACATTCTGGATAACCATTCGTATTGTACCCTTTTTTACACGGATGGCTCTTTTAGTTCTAAAGGGGGTTCTCCTTTATTTTTCCTCATCTACTTATCTAATCGGCTTTCAATCTATCTCCTTACGTCTCTTTATTTACGGCAAAAAGCTTTGCCATCTTAGAAGCTCTTACCTGCATAAAGTCCCTTCTTCCTCCGGGAAATTTTCTTATAATGTCTGACTCTCAAGCATGTTTATCATTTTGAAAATCCTCTTTATTCTTTAGTCACTCGAAACCTGCGCCATCTTCGTTTCGTTCCCCGTAACCCATGGGTTTCGGGTCATATCGGTATCTCGGACAATGAGCGCGCCGATGTGTTGGCTAGCTCGGCATATAATATGGATCTGTCACGTCCCCCTTTGTATCCTTATTCCGATCTAATGATTATCCTCCGATGATCAGTTCGATATTTCATTAAATAAAAAAAAAAAATTATATTATATTATATTATGTTCGTTAATCAGTAGAACCCAAACCAACTATCTCACATGAGTTGTTAAAAAGCCAGTGAAAACCTAATATATATTATTGTAAACATTTAAAAAATATATATGTATATTTTTTGTTTAGCATATGGTATGACCGAAGCCTCGCCTGCCGTATTTGTGTCCAGGAATACCGGTGTAGATCATTTGACGGTCGGTCCGCCTTTACCCAACACTTTGGCAAGAGTCGTAGATGTGATAGACTCGACGAAAGAACTCGGTCCCGGCGAAGTTGGAGAAATTCAAGTCAAAGGACCGCAAGTCAGTGTTTATACAGAGTGTTCTATGAATATATGACCATTATGACATATTGGAAAGTATTAAGTTCATTTGTATTTTGTATTTTTTGTTCAATTTAAGAAAAAAGTAGCTATTAAATGTTACATTACTATTAATTTTAGGGATAAACCGACTACCTACTTTTGACTTCAAATGGCAACCTATATAAAAAATTCCATAAAAGACGAAGTATTAGCAAGGACTTTGGTGTGAGATGCAATAGGTAGTTGGGTCATCCCAAAAATAAAGATGACAAAAAATAATGGCAATGTAAAATTCTAAAGCTACTTGTTTCCTAAAATATCAAAAAAAAAGTTAATACTTTTCATGATATCGCAATGATCATAATATTTTCGTGAAATACTCCTTATACCTATATAGGTAATATAGGTAGGCATATTAATGAGTAAGATCACTTAGGAGGAAGATAACGAATTTGGAAATTATAATGTGCATTATGTGTAATTATGTATAATTTGTAGAAAAAAATCAATTTGTAATGATTTATGTATTTTTATAAGCAGTTTATAATTTAATCCGCCTTCAAATTATCTTTGAAATTATGTACCTAACTATAGGTATAGGTAATTATTTAATTTATTACCTTATTGTTACATTTCTTTAATCAACTAACCGCTTTCATATCATAATGTTTTAGATAGGTTTCATAATTTACACATTTACATAAAAAAAATATGTGCATGTTTATGTTTTTCTGGTATATTAATTATAATATGTAGGTAAAACTTAATAAATTGTTGATTTTTCTTACTAAGTGGAAAAATTTGATTTAAAAAATATATAGACTTATAAATAATAGATACTAAAAACGGTCAAGAGGAGACGAAATGTCTCCTCTATCTCCCTCTTTCATGAATAAACAACTGATACACTTGTATGCATACAATATAAATATCCAGTAAAGATAAAAATACAAATATTATATTTCCATTACATAGGTGATGATTGGCTACCTTAACAATCCCAAAGCGACAGCCGAGACTTTAAGCCCGGAAGGCTGGCTAACAACAGGCGATATCGGTTACTATAATGAAAACAAAGACTTCTACATAGTAGATCGTATCAAAGAGCTGATCAAAGTACAAGGATACCAAGTAAGTAGATATACATTAAATTTCCCCTCTACCTTACCAACTTCTAATCTACAACAGTGCAGTGGTCCACTTGTCGTGCAAAATATGTCTGTCTTTATAAGAATAATTTTCACATTTTTTTTTTTTTTTTTGGAAAACCTAAATATTTGTTTGCGCCAACATAATATGATATCGCTTCCATAATATGATATTATGTAGAAAACATCAGTTAGAAAAAACAAATTTAACGGTTTTCTTGACATCAACTATTTTTTTTGTACAATCATTTGAATAAAACAAACATCTGATCACGAAAATGGTTTCTACCACGCATTATGATAAATTCCCGCATGTGCAAACACGTTCTGAAATAAAAAATAATGGAAAGTATGCCTATTGTTGTTCTTTTTTTCAATTTAAAATGTTGAAAATAATTTTGTTTTAGTTACATACCTTTTTTTTCGTTTTCTAAAAATAATGTATAATGTATTATGTATATGTATGTACAACTTTGATTCGCTGACTTGACATTTTTCTTCAAAAAAACTTAACAATAATTGCCAAATATAATTATTTGTAATGTGTTTGTTTGAAATAAAAAACGTATAAAACAAATTTCTTTTAAATTTGGAAAATTATATTTTATTTATAGTTAATTGCGAAATGATTTTAAGCATTGAAAATTAAATTCCTATTAAGTAATTAAATTTAAACAAATTAATTCCTGGTATTGTTAAAACGACCCAAAAGCTCGTTAAAATAATAGTCCGCGATTATTTTATTAATCGGCCATCTGTTAGTTGACGATACTATTATGCATTTTATAGATTTAAATTTATTTTTTGTTATCTTTTTTGTTATTTTTATACTATAATAGTGCGGCGATTAGAAAATATTTCAAAAACTGCCAAACCATTAAAATAATATCTTAAAGAGCTGTGATCCGCTGTCCATAACGCTTTTTTGAATAACTGTATATAAAATCGTTATAATCCGTCATATATGACGGACATACAACTATTACTATTATAATATATTTCAAGTATAAAATAACTCTTTATAATAATATGTTCACAGTGAACATAAACGTGGATCGATATGGTTTGACCCTTCTCTCCAATCGTTTCGGTATCTATAACCTTTGGGTATTTTTATAATCTTTATGCCGAATCGTTTTCTATTCATTTATGTTCGTCTAAAACTGTGACTTTGAGAAAAAATCATGTCTACAGCAGTGTTCCACTTTTATTTTAAATTTCGAGCGTAGCGAGGGAGCTATTGGTTTTACAATGCTGTTTATTATTATTATTTTTTTCTTTGTTCTAGTGTGTGGACTCATTTTTTTCTAGTAAACTTGCTCCGATTTTTACGTGTAGCAATTTTTCTGAAAGCTCAAGTTGTCTAGATTGTATTTTAATTTTATTTTTTTTTTAAACGAAAGCACTGTGGGAAAAAAACGTAAGAAAACATACAATTTCACGAATTTCTCCAAGAAAAAATGATTTAATCGAAAAATCACAAGATATATTTTTTTTTGCCTTTTGATTTACTTTTTTTTGGTATCGTTGCCAAAATTTCTAAGCCATTTTCGAGCTATAAAGGAATTTTAACTTTTGGGATTTTTTTGCTATAATTTGGTTATAAACACATATAGAGACTTGAAACTTGGTAATAATACTTATATTTTTTTTTTTATAAGCTTTGAAATCAAATTATGTATTATCGAACTGTACTCGGAGTCGTCAGTTTTAATATAATTAAAATAACCTTATGTGTTATATCTTTCCAACTTCCCACCTACAACAGTGGCTTCACCCATCACCAGTATCAGCTCTTTTTTATCTATTGGAACTGCTCAATCTGCCATTCTACACAAAATTACCAAATGTCCCTCTGGTAGTAGAAAAATCTACTATCTATGCTAAAATCAACTGACATCCAGTAAATTTCGAAAATTTTCAAAATTTATCACATCAGGAGACGGACAATCGACCGTCAGCTAAAATACCGATAGAGACAATTGACTAACAATAATATATAAAGTAGTAATTTATAATGACATGCAATAACTTTATATTTTTATTTTAAAAATCTACTCATAATAAAATAATTTAAAGAAGATGGACATACTTCACACGATGAGTGGGCTACTGTTGTAGGTGAGAATTTGGGACGGTAGGATACGCAAAGATTAAATTATTATTGTATTGTTTACATACATATATTATAATAAATGTTATTTGATGTGAAATCATTTTGTAACTATACTTGTGTAATTATGTTGGTGTTTTTATCGCGATAGTTGGTTATTCCGGATTTGAACAATTCCGTAAATATATAAATAAATTATCATTATTATTCATTTAAAAAAAAACCGCCCAATATATCTCCAAACGATGAGGCATTCGGAACGGTTTCCATTGAAGCCAATAAACCACATCTGCTATATACATTTTAAAAACCATATCCACACACTAGTCAACAGTCACATGGCTTAGATTTATAATTTGACCTAAACTATATAATAGACGATACAATTGTTTATAATTAATTTTGTCCACAGGTACCTCCGGCCGAGCTCGAGGGACTGCTGAGGACTCATCCGAATGTGTTGGACGCGGCCGTTATCGGCGTCCCGAACGATCGTACAGGAGAAGCTCCACTGGCATACATCGTACTCAATACAGACCTTCCAGCCATTGGCGAGGATGAAGTCAAGGAGTTCGTGGCCGGCCGAGTAGCACCGTACAAGAGGATCACGGCCGGTGTGCATTTTGTGGATTCACTGCCCAAAAGCGCAGCCGGGAAGATTTTGAGACGAACGCTCAAAGACGAGTACATGAAAACCATCAAATAATCACCATGATAAACCATGACCTTTATGACACATTAGGAACCTTCCACCATTATTTCTTCACTTCGGTATACTCGGCAATAATCACCTGAAACGTTTTTAAAAGTTGTATTCGTTATTATATAACAACAATGGTTATTATTATATTTTTATTTGATTGTAATTGTATTTATAAGGTTTATAAAACTTTTTACCGATTCCATTTGAATTTTTGTATCTGGTTTATTTATTATTTATAGACTCGAAATGAGAAAATAAATAGCAAATTTTAAATTATACGCTATAAAAATCAGGTTCTCACCATACCTATGGCAACAAAAAAAGAATCAATTTATAGAAGAATATAGTTTAGATAAATAGTATAGATTTTAGTGTATTTCATTAAAGTAAGTTGGTACCGAAGTTCAAAAAAACGAATAAATGATATCTTTTTGTTGACATATTTTTATTCCGCAAAGGTGCCATAAAATTGTAAAAAATAATGACATCCTAGGATAACGAAAAGGGGTGCAGCCATTGTGATAGACAATTTAATGTATATCTGTAAGCAACAATAAAATATTGTTTACGAAAAATCGATTCTGTGCGTAGTTCAGTTGATAGTAATGCTTTGCCAACAATATATACATATCATTTTATAGTAAAATAGTTAAATATTCTTATTTTTTTTTAATAATATTTGTTTAATGTTGTCCTAGTTTTCCTACAATTTTCCCGGTTTTCTGTGTTTTACACCTGTTTTTCACATTTGCTGAAAAAACTCTTTAGAAAATCGAAAAATGGCCCTCTCTAAGAATCTTCTCACGCCAATTTTCTTTTAGAAATATGCTACATATAAAAAAATAGATAAAGATAAAATAAGATAAAGATAAATATCTTTGTAAAATTATAAGCTTTTTCGCTCCACTCAGAATCTAAAATTAAATTAACACATAAATAAAAATACAAGAAAATAATAAATAAAATTATAATTTGGGTGTGGAAGGTGTAAAAAACGTAATTCCTCGTTGTCTAAACTGCTTAGTGTAAATCTAATTGACAAAATGGATATACACTTTATGCTTGTCAGACAGACTATTTTCGTTACCATCTTGTATGAAGAACTTCTGCGACTAATCAATGCTTTTTTTAGCCTCTTTAGCTTTAACTGGTAGATCAGCATCCAGGTAATCCATTGTTTTTTTTTTTTATCGAATCCAACCTCATTAAAGTTTTGAACAAGTAAAAATTTCTCATTCAATTTGCGTTGTGGACTAACAAAATTAGAAAAATTACAATGTGCGGAACAATTCAACACAGTTGTGCAGCTAACTTGCCCATATAAACCCAACCGAATGTCCATATTATGGGATTTTTGTTTACATTGTGGTTGGGACTAGACGATTTAGGCCATAATAGGTGGCAGTCCATATCAACCGGTGGCCACATTACCCGGAATTCACTGTATATGATTTCAATATTTCTCTCTTTCTACACATTTCCTATTTATTATTTATGATTGATGTATGTATACTTTTTATTTGAATAGAACATAGCGTGCTGTTGTATTGGGTGGTTGATTATCTAAATTAAATATACAGTGATAGTAAATTGTTGAAAATGTGTACCTCGATTATTTTTAATAATGTGTCAACTTTCAACTGTAGATAGTAAAGCTACAAAAAATATTGATGTTCGAAAAATGTTACTAGTTATAACGATAGTTTAGCAGTAGGTGCGTTTTAGGTCGTTCGGTTGTCGTGTGTGTTGTATAAAACTCCCCGGAGTATAGATAACTTATGCAAACAAATTTTTAGAAAGGTATGCCGTATCAACAGTGTATAAAAATACTGTTATCAGCTAAATAACGTGTCCGTTGTATTAAATGCCATTTACTTACTATAAACGTATAAAGTTGTGTCATATACGATGTATATATATTCTATTTGATGAGTAGCTATGCATGTTTTATATTGATTTAAATTATTTAACAATTTCTGTGTCTGCTATTTAACTATTTAAATGTGCTCCGTAAACTATCCTGATAATGTAGTATGCCTCCTGTCAGTAAGTTATGAAAGTTTCGCCGATTCACTTATACAAATGGGTACCCATCTACCGTCCGTACACCTAAGCACTGCAAAAGACTACTGAGAAAAAATAAAGATAGCTCATAACTGAAATCAATATATAAACAAAAAATAGTACACTGTTTTTAACGTTTACTCGAAGTTTCAGTATAATATAAACATCATCGTTGATCCGATAAAATATTTTCCACAAGCTGAAATTGAATTATTTAAATAACCCATGTCCCAGCACTCAATATAAGTAAACTATGTTATATTTTTAACTCGGCCGTATTATGCGTCTTATTCGCAGACAAATAAATTATGGGTAAAGTATGAAAATGTATACGTATTGTTGATGTTTATGTAAAAGTTTTGAAAACTCGTAGTCGACCCATTATAACGTATTGCACTTTTTAAACTACGATCACAAGCGGATTTTCCCTCAGGTGCTGCATAAGACCTCTATTACCGTTTATCATAAGTGAAATCGGTCAACATGAATATTGTTACAGGCATTATACTTCGTATAGAGTTTTAGAACGCCTAACACGATATATTATATAAGTATACATATACTGTTATTATCGGTTTTTATCAGTTAGCTATCAATTGTAAAGTATTTTAAAAATAAAACGAATCGAGAATGTGAAAAGACTACAGGATTATTCTAGGATTATTCATTTTAATTTTAAATATTTTAACTTCCCCGACTTTCGAAAATACAGTACAGTTTGCAAGTGTTTATTTGTTTTTAAATTGTTTTTTTTTTTTTAGTGTCATACTTTTGTTAAATACGAAACCGTTGAACCGTATAGCGGTGACGAATGTATCGAAACTTTAAAAAAAAAATAAATCTTTGAGTAAAAATAAACGCGGATCCTCACCGAAGAAAATTATAAAAAGTTCAAACCTGCAGATATAGTAATTCGGAAAATATACACATACTGTAGAATAAATTACGCTCTACAGGTACATAAAAAACGTTGGCATAATTACCATTTGTTATCTTGGTTCAAGTGGCCATTTATTATTTTTCATGGGAAAAAGAGAGGCATAAGAAATTTCTTAGAAAAAGCAACTAATCCTTTAAAAATGCTAAACTTATTAAAAAAACTAGTAATACTCTGCCAAAAGAAAATAATTTGATACCTATAAATTAAACGATTAAATAATAAAAATGTAAATGTATTTTAAAACAAACAATTAGAATAATTCAAAGTTTTTCTAACTGATAGAAATATTACAAATCCCGATCCCAAATAGTTGGGATGAAGGCGAATAGAAGAAGATAGTAATATTACAAATAAAATTACCTAGATACGTGAAATATACAAAGACGTCAGTAAATATTATAAGTATATTAAGTACTATACTCGCAATATACTTAAACTTAATATAGATGTTTGTCATTAATGTAATGTGTTTTATTAGAATATAAATTTTCACTCCTACGGAAAAATAGAAAACCTCGCTTCCTATATAGTGGAGGATATACGAACAAACATTTTATGAGGTGTTTTTAGATATTTTAAAATTGTTCTCAATAGCCATAGGGTGTGAAAACCATTTCCTACCATTTTTCAAAACGGAAAATATAATTATTGTTTATTGCATTGTCATCGAAACTATGAGCTCATTCAAAACATCATGTTGATCGGACCACGAGTTTCCTTCAAAAATCCGAGTAAAATTAAAAAAAGTAATAATCACAAATATTAATGTTACCTATTTATTTACGATACGAGTATACGTAGATACGGCCGAGCGTTGGATTTTATTTTATGCGCTGCGGCGTATATTATTGCACACCGCCGGCATTGTAATCCAAATTATAAAATATTAATATCAAATCTCGTTAAGTGGGTATACAACTGATGAACACACGGTGCAATGTTGCTGCTCTCGTTAAACGATACGGTACTCACGAGATGCAAGAAACGCAACGAACAGAGTATACACGTAATACAAAATTATTATCAGACCAAACACACATATTTTCATGAAAATCACCGTTCGAGATCCGGTCAAAAAAGACGCCATAATGTTTGATTAAAATGGTGAATAATGTACATAAAGTAACATAAACGCAATGCATGGATCTCACAACGCTTGCCGTTTTCCATACAACAGATCTCGTAGAGTGGTAAATTGTGGTGAAACAATATAGCAAATTTTACATTGTTAAAAAAAAAATAAATTGATACATTTTATGGCTGATTATCTGGCGAAAACTCGTCTCAAGGCCAAACCCGATTTAGAAAAAAATACGAAAATGTTTTCATCAAGTGCCTTTGATCCACTGATGTTTGCATTCTTACTGACGTATTCGAAAATTCACACGACTTTTGATTAAAAATATTTAAACTAGACGCTTTTCATTTTACGATTACTCCCAAATTGTAGTTTTTGATTACACGTTTACGTATATTAAAATCAATTTGGATAAATGATGTGATTATAAAATGCAATTAATGTTGGAACAAGATATACGACGGGGAATTTGTCTTTTTTTTTTAAAAAAAAAGGTACGTCAATGTTTCAAAGCCAATATTCCTAATGTCGAAAATAATGATTACGATGAAAACAAACCTTGGCTGACTTACCTAGACTGTGCAAATCTTTATGAAAAATCTACACTCGAAGAATTACCTTTTTTTCGAATTGTACAATGAATTTCAACAATAGATATTTCAAAAGTCCGGGACGAATTCTGGTACATGTTTGAAGTTAACTATCTAGAGATACCAAATAAATGATATGAATGCACAGTCCACCATTTGACGATCTACGATTTGCGTAGCGGTCTATTATTTAATGGTCCTGCACGATTACTATAGTACCTATACTGTTTGTATTTTGGGCAAACAGGTAGTTTAAAATGTATGTTTATGATTTTACAAAGAATAGGATAATTTTGAATAGGCTACACAAGATAGATATATTATACCTGTTTTGGATGATTGTAACGTTATTAATGATTTAGTGTTATGAAATATAATATTGTTTTAATCGTGGTCTCTTGATAAATATTTAGTTGAATGTACAGATATACTATGTAAGTTGTAAGTAAATAAGGTATTTCATTTTAAAATCCAACAAATACCACCATAATCATTTGATTACCAACGATTTGTAGATATTAATTAAATATAGGCATTAAAAATATTAAAGTTGACATTTTTGAAAACACTCGATATGCCTGTCGACTTTCAGGTCTGAAATCGTTATTTAATTATCGTGCATATTATTTATTTATTGCCTCCCCCCTCCCCTTTCAGAATATGCCTCTGTGTTAGGGAATTTCCCTGAAATTATAACCAAAAAACGGTCTGGATACAATACCATTTGTCCAATTGTTGTTACCAGTGGTTTTGTTTTGTATAATAATTTCATAATAATATTCTATAGGTAAATACACTGACAATCGTGAATACGTCATACTGTGCGACTGTATTTTATTTTGGGTTGTTTTTGAATATTACGAAAAAAAAAAAATGGACGCGCACGTTCGTCGACACGTTTTCGAAATCAAATTAATTCGATCTCATCCTCTGCCCAAGATGTCTATAGTTTTAATGAAAAAAGCGTCTCCGCGCGACGCATACTAAACGATTTTTTCATTTATGTGTGTATGTGTGTGTGTGTGTGTGTGCGGGTACTACAACATTCCCTTATATAACATCGGAATAACAATGACGTAATAACAACAATAATATTGCAATTATATACATTATTTTCGTGCCGATCCGCGGTAAACGTAAGTACCTATTTATTAAAATCAAGACTGATTATTTGGCATGGCCTTTTTTTTTTCACCGCAAACCAATACCTATAACGATGAACCTTGTACGCAATTTGCGAGAATTTCTCAGGAGGGGGGATCGAGAGATTGTTATTCACATTAAATCGATTGAAAAATATCCTCGTCCATTTCAAACAGGTATAACTATTGATAATAAGCGTAATAACTCAATATACTCCGAAATATTTAAAAAAAATTCTATCACCGCATCTATAAAGTGTTAATATAAAAGTATTTAGTGTATATTTCGGGTCAAAAGGAAATGATTATTTCAAACCGAATTAACCCCTTACCAGACTAAAAAAAAAAGGAGACAACACTGCTGGTGGCACAAAACTAAAAAAAACTCGAAAATGTCAAACGCCTATAAATAAATCCAAAATTGGCGAAAATGTTTTGAAAAATATCAAGAAAAGTTATTGTAGTAAAACCTATCGATTCCTCGCTACTCTCTATATCAAAGAATATCACTTATAATCCACAATCATATATGAAAAAAATTGGTTATTCTCTTATAAAATATTCACCAAAACGCATATAACGCACGAGTTTATTGATCGGTTTATACGATTTCCATGAAACCCCTACATTAATATAGCACAATATATTTTTAAAAGCAATGGATTACGCCCGTTGTGAGTGACCGCGTCGTAATTTTTAAAGAGGTCAAGCACCCCCGCCGCGCTTAACAGAAAATCGAATACTTAAATTTTACGTTCGCGTGATGTGTACATAAAATCTAAATTAATGCGAAAAAAAAAAATTTAAAAAAAAAGTATGCGTTCGAATTATAGAAAAATATTATTAACATTTTTGCTTGTGCATAAATTTCAAACACGATATCGTAATTTATTAATTTATTCGCGTGATTTTGTGAGTTGATTATAATTTTTCGAGCGCACGATTCAGAATCGGCTTTTTTTAATTTTTTTTTTTCCCCCAAGGGTCTCGGTATTTTTAGTACGTTTTCTTTAAGTGAGATAAAATATTAAGCGCCTATAAGTAATTTGAAAATCACCAGAATGGTTTGAGGATTTTACTGCGTTTAAAAGCCAATTTGAAAAAAAAAAATCAAATCAAATTCTATACAATAACGAATCCGTTTTTGCAGTAGGTTTTCTCGATTTTATCAATGTTTTTCCCCAGTTATCCCAAATTATTGGGAAACCTACAAGGAAATCGAAAAACGGCCTCCTCAATACGTCTACTGGAAAAAATTTAATTTTCAAAAAAATGCTAAACTCGTGATAATTGAGTGAGATTTCCGGTAAAAAGAATAAAAAATAATCGCCTACGTTATCACGAGAACGCTATCGACGAATTTGAAAAAGATAAACTCGAAACGTTCTAATAACGCGGTTTAATGGTCGGACGGGTTTTTCATTAGGATTTTCTCTGGGCGCACCGTCGAATTGTACAGGTGCGCGTAACGTTACATTATTGTTATTATTATTATTGTTATTATCGTCTTCTCTTGTGAACCTGCGGGCACGAAAACGTGTGCGTTCGCGTTTCCTGCGGTAAGACATCAAATCAAAATCCCCAAAGTAAAAATTTCGGACCGATTACGTGAGCGAATTCCGTACCGGCGGCGTGCGTTTTCTCTACGGGTAAATACATCTAGGAAGCTGGTGTACATTATGTCTTACCTACGTGTTTTATTTCGCGAATTTTCCGAGCGAAAACAATCAGCGAATAGCTCGCCGTTTTTCTCGGCACGCGGTCCGCGAGTTATTGCATTTTCGTTCGGCGCGCCGTTGCAAAGGTGTACGAAAAACCACATAAAACGCGACCGGTCTCCCGTTGACACTATCGCACTCGCTCGGCCCGCGTATTGTACCCATCTATTGCTTAATTGTGTACCCGGTGCCCTCGGGTGGAGTTTGACGAGTCGCGTGTACGCAAATCTATTGATTTGCATTACACGTTTGTCGAACGTGTGATTTTGTTTCTAAAAAGTAAAATAATAAATATCTATAACCGATAGACAGTTCAATGTTTATGCGCGCGATAAACTTACGGTGAGTGATGGTAACGCGTCTTCTTCAGGGAACATTAAAATCGAATTGCAAAATGTACCGGAAGCGTCGAAATGGCAATTAACCGACAGGAATAATAAAAAAAAAAAAAAAAAATGTGCAAAAACGAAAAGATCATTCTGTTTTATTGACACGGATACTAATAATGCAATAATAACAGAACAATCCGTTGACAACGGTATCATCGCCATAGATACAATGTTAGTGCATATTGGTGGTCATCCGAATTATTCCGACGGTACACGAAGACGCGTAATTTTGACACTCTGTTTAAGCCGTAAACCGAATTTCCGCGAACAAAGACACTCAGACCATTGATCCCTTAAGCCCGAAATACCTAAAATACTAAAGAGATAAAAAGTACGAATATGTAATATATATAATTATGTATACAATATATAATATACTGTAGGATAAACGGCTTAACGTCGTTCTTTTGTCGATTTATAAAAAAGAGAACAACAAGATACGACAGCCTTTCGTTGTAATTTCAAAATACAAATAGAACACATGAAAGCAGCAACAACGAAAAAACAATTTTAGAGTCTGAGCGATAACAATAATTCGCGATTAATTGGCGATTAATATTTTGGGATAGTAATAATAATAAGAGGCGTGTTTCGGTGTGTAACTTTGCTTCACTGACTTTAAGGACATGCGCGACGAGGAATACATTGATTGAACTACGATGTGTGCTTTATTTGGTGCCTGCACTTTTTTACTAGAGATCCACCTCGGATTTTCAAGTGTAGCATGATTTTCTGAAAACCCACCTTCCTGTGGGCGCACTTGATTCTAATTATATAAGCCCTTTTTAAAGCGGTACGATTTTCAAATTTTGCTTGGAACTTCTGAGCTATTTCAAATTTGTTCGCTTTTCTTTAGTTTTATGTTAATAAAATCGGTATAGTTAAACATAAGAAGTTCATAGTACATGAAAAGTTGAGTGCCATGTTGTGTTGTTTTTTTTTTTTTTTATATATATATATAAAATCGTTTAAAATTCGAATTTTTAAGAAAATCGTAAAAATCGAATTGCATTACTTATTTAATCGAATTTCGCTCAGAACTTTTTTCATTAGAAATAACTTATTGTTGCATATACAGATATATATATTGCGGAAAGAGATCAAAATTAGATCGCCCGTATATCCGGCTTTCTCAATAATTGTATTTTTTTTATAATTTATTTTTCATTTTGAATGTATACCTATACACTTCTATATTATTTGATTTCAAACGAAACGCAATGGTATTCGAATATATTGGTTTTACAAAAACGGCTATTGTTTTTTTTTTTTTTTTTTTTTTTTTACTCTCGTGCATGCCGCGCGCCCGTCTTAAATTTGGG